CTAGATTCATCAATTTTTCCACCTTGGCCAGCTGCTTATCCAGGGTCGTCTCACTCCCCTTTTTTCCAGAAAGGCCCTTCCAGAATTCCCAGGTGTCATAGAGGGCTACGAAAACTGGAAGCTTCCAGAATGCTTTCCAGACCGCGTGGATCAGCTTCACCACTTCAGTCACCCGTCTCACGGTGGTCACGATTACGTTGAGGCCAACAAAAGCCACAATGGCGGCAATCAACTGGCCAAGGATGTTCATGTTACCACGGGCAACGTAACTCATCGTCTTCAAAGACTGAAGCATGTAGCCGTATAGGTTGCTGACAAACTCTGACGGTGCACATAACGCAGCATCCACCATATAGAGGACACATGTCCTGACCAACGTACAGTTCACAATCGAAGGCGCCACTAACGTCATTCCCGGTGACGACTCTTCTCCGTCCGTCTTGGGGCCTCCATGCGGTGTAGGTCCAGTGGTTCTCTCCTCCAACTCCATCTCTTCGCTGATCCACTCACGTTCAGCGCCCCACATGCCATCCCATGCCCGATGGAACAGCGACTTTCGGGATGGTCCTTTCGCTGACTCCTCCTGTACAGCTAGTACTAGAGTTGACATCTTATCGCTCATCTCCCGCAAGGCCGCACGATGTCGCCGAAGCTCTTCGCGTGCCGCCGCATTCTCCTTAGCTAAGGCCGCAATATGCCTGTCCTCCGTCAACGATTCTCCTCCTCCCATGAGAAGAGGCATAGAAATCGGTGGTTCTGACCCATCGAATCGCAGTCTTGATGCCTCGAAATCATCCTCCGAGGCAGACGGGCCGATCGTATCCGACACATCCTCCACCGTAAAGCAAGTCACCCGTCCGCATGACACGATGATCAGTCCCATGATGCATGCCCATGCTCCGAAACCATGTAAAGATCTGTGCCCGGGCACGGCACGACCCTTCGGGGTTGGCACAGCAGAATTCGACATGCGGAAAACACCATATACCGATTCACTGCGTCCAAATGCGATCGAAATCGCCACACACAGGACGCTGGGCTTATCCCTTCGCAGGGAACCACCCGCCCGACCGTCAGGTCCCAACCCCACTTCGTGAGGAGGCCCGTTCAGGTGCTCCGGTTGCAAGCAAGAACACTCTTACAGACCGGGGGCAGCTACAATGCGCACCCCCGCCACTTTATACATTACCGCAGTCAGGTTCATATGACAAAAAGAAAGGTCCACAAAAAGGTCCACCTAGGGATCCAGATCCTTCCCACAACCACACAACTGGATACCCTCTACCACACGACCAACGCACCGCCCTGCTGGTCATTTCGTCAGACTCCTTTGATCCCATCTTTCTCTACTAAGTCAACTTCAGCTCACCACCATCTCACAGCCACCCGTTCACACGTCCTCAGACCATCCCCTTGATCTCATATACGGTCTAATCGATACTTACATATCACATCAAAAATAATCCTGTCCGGCGGCCGCACCCAGCGCCATGCGCTGCCCCAGTCACCCATGCTTCTCTGCTGGTGGCGTCTCCTCACGGTCGAAGTCAGGCCTGGGCTTGTGCCCCTGAAACCATCCCTGGACTTCCGCCCGGACGGCATCGATCCTCCATGCCTCCTTGATCTCCATATCGCGCACATGCCACTCCCCAATCGCCCTTCGCAATGATGGCGAACGCAGGTCCTTCCTGGGAGGGGCCGGCGGCAACCGCATCAGGAATGCCCTGTCCGCCTCAAGCGCTTTCACACGTTCATCCTCCAGGAACGCCTCCTCCAATGACTGCACCTTCAATCGCTGGTGGAAAAAGTCATCGATGACCTTCAACCTGGCCGCGCGAATATCATCCTCAATCGCCTCCGCAGCCCGCCAAATCACCGGCTTGTTGTCAAGCAGCTGTAGCTGCGACAGCTCATTGTCCCTCCGAGCTGCATCCCACGCCGGCTTGAGACCCATGTAACACATGGTCTCAAACTACGCTATAATTTCCGTTCTGACAGCCGGCGCTAGCGGCTGCATATCCAGGGAGGTATGGAAGCCCATCCCGGTATGTATGACGGCATCGAAGATCTTCTGGTCGTCCGCCAGCGACTCCTCCCACACCGACATGAGAGCGCCATGCAAGTCTCACGCTCGCCTCCATTTCTTGTCTTCTTGGGGCGCTCCACTGGAACCAGACGCCTGTCCGCTTGGCGCCGCCAGCCGTGCCACCTGGAACTGCTCCAGCTGATGGCAGAAATCCCGCACGTCGTTTAGCCCCTGGAGAGACTGGGCATGGCGCCACTCCAAGACTTTGTCGATGCGGGAGCTGCCCTGAGAACCGGCCATCCTTGCGCTGCTTACAGACGACACTGAGGGCCTTCTCGAACGCACAGCGTGAAATCCGCATGGAATCCATGCGCGCTCGCCTCAACATCCTGTCTACCGCCCTCTGACTGACCATCAGTCCAATCAGTCACTTGTCAGGCCTCCGAACAGCCTGGTTCCCTGTGGCCTTCCACCGTACATCGAAAAAAACCCCTAGAAAACGCAATTCTTCATCAAATCAACAATAAAAACCACCATTCGATTGCTAATAAAATTCGGGATCTATTGGTATCTTGTCCTCCCCTTAATGACCACTCCATCCCTATAATGATTGCCTGGAAATCTTGTATGCTGGCTAGCCCGTTTCCGTGCTGCTCACGACAAAGTAACATACAGGTTAAATTGATGGTGCCCGATTCAGCCCGATCCTGCCAGCGATATCCGCGATTCCCTCATCACATCGCGCCCACGCCTTTCCCCCGCTAAGTCATCTCCGGGGCCCACCCGCGGAGCCGCGGAGCCAGCCATCCCACAACACCCCTCGCTGCCCCGCCCAGGCCTCCGGGCTGGTGCGTTTCACACACAGGGGCGCCGCCGCAAACCCTCTCCGGTCAGATCGGCGGGAGACCCCTCCTCCGTAATCCCACCGGCTCAGATTGCCGCAAGCGGCCTTACGCATAGTCCTTGCCCACCCGGACCATCGAGTCCCAGCCGCTCGGATCTGGGGTATTCGGGTTAGGGGCTCTGGACCGAAAGGCCCCCGCCCTGAAAACTTTACGGGCAAACTGAAAGGCCTCAGGGAGGCGGCGGTTTTCCCCCGGCGGAAGGGGGCTATCCCCTTACGGGGACGCGCAGCCACCACACGGCTGCACCCCTCCATCGCCGGCCCATGGATGCCCACGGGGCCGCCCGTCACAGCGATGGCCATTGCTCCAAATTCTCAACGCAGGGCCCTTCCCTGTCTGTCCCTGAGTGAACTGCGCGGGTCGCCTGTAGGCGGGCTGGTGTTGCGTAGTGTTGCGGGGACCCACCGTCCATGGGGGTGGCGTGGAGCCCCAACGGCTCATGTGGCTTCGGACGTGCTTCCCTGACTGCGCTGCTTAGTTGTGCTGGTTACGAGAGCGCATCGCTCGGGTTGCCGCTGAATCGGGCCCTGTTGCCATAGCCTGGGCTGCCGATACTGCCCTGGTAGCCTGGATGCTTATACGATCCCTCCCCGCCCGGCCATAGCTCCCCCATACGGGAGTCCCCTGCCGGTGAACTCTGGGCCTCACGGGGCACCAGCTTGACGCAAGTGAATGGTGCATTATTGAGCCATAATAGGCTCATTATTGGTGACCCGAGCAAAACCCAATTAGTGCGCGACATGCCTGGAATGCAATTACAGGACTCTGCTCGGGGGGAAAAAACTGCCCTTCACGCGCACATTTACGCTCGCTTCCACGTGGCGCCCAAGATGGGTTCCCATCGAGCCCAGGCGCCTGTCCCCGTCCCTGAAGGGCCACCCACCCTGCCGTCGCTCGTCCGCCCGGGCGCCCCACTCCTGGGGCGGCTGCCGCCATCCTCCGGCGAACGACCGGCGGGCGCCCAGGCGCGCAGGTCGCCCGCGGACGCTACCCTGCCACTCGGTGCCGCGGCGCGCCGCACTCCCGCTGCGGCGACGCGCGTCGACGGGCACGTTCCCATTCGCTGGAGCAGAAAACACGTGAGGCGGTACCTGATGCATCTCGCGCCGACGCGCCTGAGGAAAGATGGGGGACAAAAAGAAGAGGATGGCAGAGGCCAGGAGCTGGACGAGACGAGGTCCTTGGGGGTGATTGGAGTTGGGAATCAGCGCGCCAGCCTGCTGCGGCGTCGATCAAGTCCCCACCCACGTACGGCGGCCTGCGCGCTCATGGCAGCCTGCGAGGGGGGATTGTCGGAGGGGAGGGGGCATCACTTTGGGAATTGGGTCGGCTCGGGTCGATCGCTGGGGATTGGTCGGTGGCTTGCGTCGTCGGCGTGGCTCCGCGTTTGAGGCGGTGGCGGGTTCCGTGGCGGACGGCGCCCTTGTACAAATGCCCTGTCGCCTGACATCAGAGGGACGACAGGCAACACAGGAGGCCGAAGGTCGCCGGCGTTGTGGGATTCGTGCTGGTGCAGCGGCGAAGCTTGCTCCCGACCTGCGGCCGGCTTTGGGACCTTCCATCAGGACTGCGCTCAACCTCTGCGGCACTCTAAATTTGATGGCGTTCCCTGCATTCCGCTTTGGGAACGTAAGGGTGAATCACTTGTCGCATGCTGGTTCGTCAGGGTGACAAAACCCGGTGAACGTGGTGCATGGCCACGCCCAGCCCTTCCAGGGTGGTGCTGATGCTGATGATCATCGCGCATGGCGTTGCCTGTTGGCCTGTTGAGTGTGCTCCTGGCATCTGTATGCCAGTTCCGCGGGCTCTGGGACCACTTTGAGGGCGTGGACAGCAGATGAGCTATTGTCTACACTTACTGGCTTCCTCAAAGCACAAGAAGTGGAAAATGTTTGTGCAAGACTCCATGGGGCGGCAGAAAGTTCAGAGTTGATGTTTTCCCTTCCTTTGCATGCTGGAGAGTTGGATCGAAAATTTGTTTTCCTGCATCAAGTGTTCTGTGCCAGCAGTCTATTGCCTGCCTTTCACAGACTTGCTGCACAAATGTCATGTTGTGTTCTGCTGCAGACATGGCCACAACAGAGTCAGGGGTGTGCCCTGCTGGTCCTGCACTTTCCAAGCGAACAGCTATATGGGCTGCCTTGTGGATTCTTTCTTTGCAGAAAGTTTGTGGCAGCAGTGCAGATGCAGCACTGGGCGCTGGGCAAATCTTGCCAGGAGAATTTTTGGAGAATACAGCAGGTGATTTTGCCACATCGCTGACCCTAAATTCCCGCCACAATGCAATGGGTGTTGCACAGTGCATGTGCCACAATGAGTGTGCTTTTGAACCATACCCTGCTGAAAAGGATTTGCATTTTAATTGGACGCCAAACAGCGGGCACAGTCACCTTGTGCTGACTTTGGAACACAAATTGGGACGTCCACGATGCAACTATTCCCCTGTGTGCTACACATATACCTTTTCTCTCAAGGCCCTCAAAAGCGATCTAAGTTCCAGTGGTGTTTTGTGATCTGCTGAGCTTTTTTTTTCCAAATGTGGTTCAAGCACCCGTTGTGAAGCTGCCCGCAATGGCTGGATGCAATCACAGCAGTCAAGCCTATTGGATGCAAATTTGTGGTTGTGTGTGCAGTGGTTCGTCTGAGGTCATATTGCTGCTGTTCTGTTGTATTGCAACTTGCCAAAGGCTTTGTGGAACATCCCAAATTTTATTGTGTGTTTTTTGATCAGATGGCGGTTCGTTAAGCTTTCTACCCATTGACACCTGCCACCCCAGCACTGAGAATCAGAGCGTGTCCTGCAGCAGAGAAGGTTTCTTCATATCGGGTTTTGAGAGAACCATTTACTGGGTGAGCAAAATGCTTGCAGAATAGCCACCTTTGGGACGGGTTCCAGGTGGCTTCCAACATTGTGACATGGAAATACTACCAAAGTCATAGCCAATGCAGTTGTTGCCTTTGTTGGGAGTTGTTGGAAGGAGTTGTTGTGTGGTGTACTCTGTGACCAACATTTGCACAAGTGAATGGAATGCCCTATACAGGCATAGTTTCAGGACCTCATCTTGGAATCGGCACAGTTGGACACAGTTGCTGCTGACTGAAACTGCTGCAATATTGCTGAACGGCGATCCAGCACAACGGCAGTGCACTGTTGAAATTCGTTTGGAGAGCATCTGCGTTCTGAGGGGAAAGCAGTGCGCCTGCACCTGAACAGGATGACCACTTTTGCATCCAAATTGCGTTGTAGTTCCATGTCGGTTTGTATCTGCTCCTGCCAATTTTCTTGCAGAGTTGGGTGTCCCTTTCTGACCGTGATTTCAGTTGGCATAGGTGAGGCAATGCCTAAACACCTCCCACAAAATGTTAGGCAATACTCTGCACAGCAGTTGTTGTTCAGGAAATGTTCCTATCTGCCAGATTCCCAGTTGCAAATGCCATTTGTCCAGTCAAGAGGTAAGTAGTGGTTGAGAGGCCATGCAGTTCAGTGCAGTAAGGCTCTTTGGAACACTGATGTGATTGAGGCCACAGCTGACTGGTTGGAAAGTACCCAGTGTACAACATTATTGATTAAGTGGAACGTTTCGAATGGTAGGTTGTGTTGGCCAAGGCAGTTGACTGTCATGTACCCATCCCTGACTGTTGTCCCTTGTGTGTGTGCAGAGGCCACAGGACATGTTTGCACAGGAGTACCCTGTGCCCAGCCCCAGAGCCATATGCTGTAATGTGTCGCTGCCAACCATTGAGCAATTGCCCGCAGAGGCTCGGGGCCACCCAGTGGCTGTTATATCTGTTGGCTGTCACCAGGCTCAAAACATGAAGTGCGAATCAGGCACCAGTGGGGACCGCAGATATGTTTCTGCCTTTACTGGTAAGTGGACCTTGTTGGTGAGACTTTATCCTGAATGCAGGGCATGCTGGGCAAGTGGTAGCGCTATTGGGTGTCTCACCAAGTTGAGGATCAGGATTGCAACTTTCAGGACATGCCATGCCTGTCTATTTGGGACTGTGGTGTTATGTTGTATGTCTTGAACCATAATGGAGGCCTGAATGGTGTGCACTTCTGAGTACAGTCGTTGCAGAATGCAGGTTGGATCTGAGGCTTCCTCAGAACTGTTGTTGAGAAGGCAGATATTTGGTTACCATGTGACGCTGTCTCCAGTGCTGCTGTTAGTAAATTATTGCAGACAAAGATGACTGGCCGAAGCAGGTTTTGTTGTATGTGACAGTGGCACAATGTCTGATATTGTGACTCCTGTACCTATGTTCCGCGTTTCACCAGCAATCGGAAAGTTCTCAACCCCATTGTGAAGTGGACAAGAGTTGCATATATTTTGCTGAGGAGAATATGCCAGTTGTGTGGCACCTGCTTCTCATGTTTGGCAATAGGTTGGTTGAACATGTGTGCCTTGCTTTTTGGTAACAAGCCCTCAACTGTGCAGCAAGTGCTTTCACATCCCCATCAGGGTCGTTGTGGCAGGAGAATTCTGTACAAACGTTTTTAGCTGCTGCTCCTGCTAGATGTCAGGCACCCTCGCTACCGTCCCAACACAATCTACCCCATCGACCCCCCAGTCTGCTGCACACCAGTCCTGCTCATGTCCAATGGCGACACCTGGGAGCTCAAACACTGCGACTGCACTTCGAAAGTCGACAGTATCCAGTGTGGTACGAAGCTGACGAATAGGTTCTTGTGGGGATATGAAGGCTGGTAAGCAGTGGCCAGGAGTGGTGGGCACCAGCAATTTTTCCTTGCTCAGCAATATCTGAATTGAGGTTACGTTTTCCGGAAGTGTGCCAGACACCTTGTCTGAAATAAGTTGCTTGGTGCGAGAACTCGCCGAACACAGCAAGCTTGCGAGCAACAGCCTACAGCAGAACTCTAGTTCTGCGAGCCTCACCCCGCTCCTGGCACCCCAAAGGAAGGGACGATCGCTTGGCGAATGCCCACTGGGGACCACCACCGGCGTGTGTAGCTCCTCTCAAGCATAAGTGATCGCTGCACAACATCAACGGGCAGCTCCTTGCAACTTTTCAGCGGTTTGTCTGCAGCCTTGCAAACTTGGGGGCCGTAAAAGCCACCTGGACAGCTCTCATGGTTGTTGGCAGTAGCATTTCATGGCCACCCTTGTGGTCATGCTTGTGCTTGTGGCTGCAGTGGCCTCACATGCCCCAAGACGGCGCGATACTAGTAGCGTTGTAAGTTGGAAAGTGTCACTGTGGGAGTGTGCACAGCGCAGCAATGCAGCAAGGTGCCAAGTTGCCATCTGCAGCTTGCGCTGCAACGAAGCAGGACACTGCCATCAGCAAGGCAATGATGAGCTTCGCAGCATGTTGGCGAATCGGCACTGAAACCTGCCAGTTGGAACCCACCAAGCAACTGTGCCCCTTTAGAACATCTTTATCGGTGGGCGCTATTGTCCCGGCGGAGCTATTCGGCTATCCGAATAGCACCGCACGTCAAAAAATCATCATTAACGGTTGGGGGGCAATAGCACCCCAATAGCACCCCCGGAGCTATTCGGCGCCGAGCAGCACTATTTTGGCCCCAAATAGCACCGCTCGGGGCCGAATAGCACCCCAGAATAGCACCGGTGCTATTCGCGCAGAACATTGTAGTGCTGCAGTGATGCTATTCGGCGTAGCCATAGCACCCACCATTGCGGATGCGTGCAGGGGAGCAAAAGCACCGGTGCTATTCAGCAAATGCCGCCTTAGTAAGGTGGCACGGCAGCCATTGAGAACCGTTCCTGTATAGCTCCGCCGGTGCAACAGCACCGACCGATAAAGATGCTCTTACAGCTATGGCGAGCTCGATTCCAAAGGCGGGATGTGGCTGATACTTGTATGTCTGAATCAGGTCACTTGGCAGTTTCTTGGCAAACATTGTCTGAATAAGGGCATGTTTCAGCGTTGTTGGCCAGACAAGTTGTCTGCATAAGGGTCCCTTCTGGTGTTGCCAGCTGGCCATTTGAAATCGAATTTGAACAAAAAATTTCTTTTCGGATACAAATATAGACCCTGGTGGGCGCCCAGCTATATTGACTTGTGCAGTATGCACACACATCATTTCCGAATTGTGCTCAGGAAGACCCTTTTGATGTTGCCACAAAAGTTGGTGTGAGCTGAAGTTTGACATGAGAGAGGAAACTGTCTCATTCTGTGCTCAAGGTCTAATTTGCTCATAACCTGGAAGCTGGTCCCCAGGAGGGGGCCAATGGGGACCACATGAAGAAAGATAGCAGTGTCTGTGATGTGCTGAAGTGGCTAGCTATGTTTGTCATGGGCAATGCATTGGTTTCTTCCACAGGCTGTGGAACTGTCCCTATTCCTATGCATTGCTGCCATGTGAATCCTGACCTGGAAACTACGTTTGGGAGTACGCAGGACAGGGACCAGCTCATCTGCAGTCTGCGTTTTTTGGAGCTGTGGCACAGAATCTAATGAATGGGCCGACAAAATTTGTCCAAGCACACACAGGCGCTTGCCAGCTCATGACAGGCAACTCGTGCATATGTGAATGCATCCATTGTCCTAAACTGCTTGGACAAACCCAAGGGCCATTGAATCCAAGATGAAAGGGGAGCATTATTGATTTGTCCACCTGAATGGCTTTGTGAGATACAGTTGTGATATTGTGTCTCTGCAGGAAGAGATTCTTTTTCATTTGAAATGCGTATTATACAGTTGTAGGGAAGAATAGCTATGTCCCTTTCTCCGCCATGGTTGACTCAGTAGCTGCAAATGGTGATTTCTTATGCTGTGATGTTCTGTTTCTGGCATTCTCATTTCTTGCTGATGCCTTTTAGGACGGCAGAGGGTCAAATCCTGCCTTATGCTCCTGCATATTGCTGCAAGATGTGCCTTGGGGATAAGTACGACATGTCGCACTGCACTGACATGAACCGCTGCAGTGGTGAGTTGTGGTCCAAGCACTGCTCTGTGTGGCAAACTGCTGCTGAACACCCAGTTGCAGCAGCATTGTTTGAATGACACGTTGTTGGGTAGCTTGCTGCCCTTGTGTTGAGCTTGGTGACGTGCCCCTGCTTGCCAGGGCCAAATGCCAAATGTTAAAAAGTATTTTGGATTCTTGTCAACTCAGATATGCATTGGAAGGAGTTGCTTGTGCATGAGAAATTTTGTTGGATGCATTTATTGGCCCATTCCCTGGAAATCGTGCAGACAGGGACAGTTGCTTCGAACCAGGCTGTTTGTTCTGTGGTGCATTTGTGACTCCTTCACACTGCTCATTGGCACTGACCACTGAGCAGCCACACAGTAATCCACAAGAAGAACATGGAATAGGAAGCCATCAGGCCCAAGTGAATTCCCCAGAAGAAGTTGCAGAGCCCATTGCTCAGGGCTTGTTCTGTTACAAAATCTGGTTAAATGCAGCTTTGTCGATGAGTGCAGGCAAAGGAGTGTGCGTTGCGGGGACATGTCAGTGCCGTAGAGGGTGGACAGGAGTGGACTGCAGTGAAATGGACGGGGGCAAAAGTGGTGACGAGTGGTGGCAGTCTTTCTGGTGGCTGGGTGTCATTGGCTTCATGTGTGCCTTCACCGGTTTGTTTGCAACTTTCTGGATGATCCAACGGGCAGAATGGGGTGAGTGATCCTTGCTCGCCTAAGTTTGATTAGGAAATGGCTGTCACATTACTGGCAGCCATCATTGTAGCAGTGGAAGTAATGATTGAGTGCTGTGTTGCATAGTACAAGTAATGTGCTTGTGAGTTGGTTGGATTTCGTGATTTCAAATTTACTTTTCTATTGTTTTGAAGTATTATGTGAGTTATAGTTTTGATTCAGAGCCTTGGTTGACAAACATTTCTTGTAATTTTGGAATTGGCTTTCCTTTCCCACCATTGTGTGCACAGTCACAGTGCTCACTAATTCTACCCTGTATTTCTGAGATTGTCCGTAAAGCAAAGTCTGGAAGTGTGAGGCAATGGACCAGTAGCACGGCGACCCTAAGGGGTGCTGTGATTCCAACCAGGGCCGGCCGCAGTGGAAGATCGTGCTCAGATGTGTCTGTTTTGAGATCCATGTATTGCGTGACAATCAGTCCAGGTGGCGGCCCCAATCTGACGGAAGAGATGTCGCCATTGTGCCACATTACAAGAAACTGCAAAGCAATGTGTACCAAGCCTAGTAAACACAGCAAACTGCATAAGTTTTGTGGTGTGAGCACCAAGAGAGAAAATGCTTGTTCATGCTTTTGTAGCAAACTAAAAATGTCTGCTCCTCCAATCTGGCTAAAGCCAAGTAGCACAACTTGTGCCAAAGTGTCCATACATAAGCCTGGGGAGAAGCTGTGCTTGGAAGGACAATACATCTGTGTGGAAATGCGCAAATCATGGTCTGCAAGGTGCAAGGTCGATGGCTTGTCCTTTTGGACAAACTTAAGGAATTCATTCTGTATTGAATCAGTGCCCCACGTGGCTGGTAGACATCCATCACCAAGGAAGTTAGGAATCCATATTGCAGAATCGCTGACTTGCAATATCACACACTTGCAGATTCAGGACTGGGCTGATACAAGTTTTAGAGACATTTGTGCTGTTGCAGCACACATGCTTTGTTTGGCATGCTGACCTGTTGACACTGGTAGACATCATATTATGTTGCTCAACTTGGGCTGCTTGGAATGTACATTGAAAAACCATATATGTCAAGGACCGAGCAGGGCCGATAATTCAGTCCATCAGCGATCTGTGGACCTGCTGTTGGTCTGATCTGCTTGTGCCCATCTGTGCCGACAGCGGATAGATCTCCAAATCGTACTGAACAGGAAGAGTCGTTGATGCCTTGGGTGGACATGGAAGGCAGCGCCGGGGCCGATGACAGCTCCTACACCTCGGTCTCAATGGGCAGCAGCCAAAGGTCCATGGCAACGGTCAGTGTGGCCTCTGTAGAGGTGGCGTCTGTGGAAGATGCCGGACAGGAGGCAGAAGATGATGTCGTACAATCGGTGCCACAGCATGGCATATCACTGCCATCAGATGGAGGTATAGTAGTTTTGTTCTCTTCCTCTCTCAAGACCCTTGCTCCCAAGGGGTGCTTGCGTTGAATGCATATTTCTCCCAAGAATGAAATTTCTTGCTCAGGCGGGTTCATCCACTGATTGTGCCTTTTTGCCAAGAATGAAAGTTCTTGGTCAAGAGAGGGCATCCACTGTATGTATGTTTTTCTCGAGAGAAAGGAAACAATCTTGAGTGAAACTGTTGGCGGTTTGGTGCATGAGCACCCAGAATAGAGGCAAAAGGAATCATATTGTGGTGATCCCCCTGGTAAAAGTGTGCACATGACACTCTTCAAGGCGTTGTAAATGCCTGCACCAGGCGGTAAAACGAGTCCACAACAACGAAATTGGGATTGTGGTCGTGTGTTGTTGCTGCTAACTTGTCCACAGCCTTGAACCTGAGCCCCTCCATGGGCCAACTAATGCCAATAGGCACAGGTGTTTGACTTTGTTTATGACATTACCATGGCAGACACAATCCACAGCCAGAGATAGGCCAGAACAACAAGGGCCAGCAGGTGTCACCAGGAACCAAGGGAAGGAAAGGAATAGAAAACACAGTGATGCCACAAGATCTGAGCATCACAACATATGTTGTTTTGGTTTTTGCTGCGACAGGACATACAGAGCATGCGAGGGCCAGGCCAGTGCCACAGCAGGAAGATTCACAAGATGCACAGGAGCAGGCAGCCCTGTCTCAGGAGATTGAGGTCTGTTAGTCTGTAGGCTTGTTGAGCTGTTCAAGACTGCAAAATAGTTTCTTGCAAGCGACAACTTGCTGTCAACCTGAGAATCGAAAATCCTTGAATACATTTCTTGCAATAAGACAAATCACTGTTCATGCACCTGTAAGGTGATGTGAATGTAGTCCATGCCATTGCTTGTTTGCATTGTTTTCCTGTTCCACATGCTGCATTTGGTCTTGAGCTTGTCAAACCCAAGCAGTAATTTGTGAATATACTACCATCTCTGTTCTAAAAATCGTGTCGCATCTGTAATTTGTGCGAACCGAGGTCAAAACGTGCTAGCCAAAAAAATTGACTGAAAGAACTTTGACATGCCATGTCAAGAGCTTTTTATGGAGCCCTTGAACGTGGCAAACAGCGCTGCCGTTCTCGCTATATATCAAAAAGAGCTGAAACGCCACTTGTCATTTTGCTGGGGCCTTGAGAGGAGTATGGCGAGCTTGTCTCGACCTTCGAAGGAGGTGAATGGAGCTAAGCTGTCTCTAGGAAAGATGATTGACCTGGTGGTTTGGTATACACTAAAGATTCAGCTAAATTCAAAGCAGGATCCGCAGAACAAACGGTGCTGGGTTTTGGCAGATTTTTTGGTTGTCAAGAAGAAGAATTGTGGGTATGTAGTGGCCACGGGCCAAGAGACACCTAGATTAACGCAGGAGCATGACCTAGCTGGCACACCAAGCTTAGGAAGGCCGTGCATGCTGACACTATTTCCGAAACAGCCTAGATAGGTGTCAATCGGTGCCAATATGGCCAACTGTTGTAATTGAGAATTTTGAAGACATGATTCAGTGCAGTGGCAGAGATGGTCCACAAATAGTATAATGCCACAACTCTTGAAAGGCTATTGTAGTGCTTATCTATTGCCTACAACAAGGTTCTTGAATAATATCGGGGAAATAGGCTGGCACATAGGGGATAACAGGAGCAAAACTAACAAAGCTACGGGGATTTGCGGTCCTGACAAAGATGGACAGGAATACTTTTAATAGGGTTGTGAATTTCTTGTTGTATGGTGATGACTGATGTAACCAAGTTCTGCATCAACCCAAAATGGCCCAAGGATTCCGAATCTGGTGACAGATTGATTGAGTTGAACTTGCGAAGTTATAGCAAGAATTCAAGATTTGACGTTATTTTTGGAACAGAGGGAGTATATACCTTGAGGTACATATGAACATGCAAGGAACCTGAATTTCAACGACATAAGGGACAACTAATATGCTGCATTCACACTCTGGCAATTGGAGATGATGCGAATGTGGGTGGGTAGGCTTTGGCTGTCAGACCAGCTCATTGTACAGCATTGCTGGTTTTGAAGAGGCATTCTTCAGATTACAAATGTGGCTTTGTTCCAATGCGTGCCAAAGCCTCAACGCTGGTGTTCTTTCCCCAGGTCGAGGACCCTTTTGAAGAGGATGACATACAAAAGACTGGTGACGATCTTGCAGAGGATCAGGACATGGGCAAGACTCTTCCCTTCAATGGCGACAACAACCCGTTGCAGCACATGATGTGCTCTGTTTGCATGAACCGGCCCATTCAAGTCGCGTTGGTCCCTTGTGGCCACAGTAATTTGTGCCGGAGGTGCTCAAGGAAGCTCCAGAGGTGTCCCTTCTGCAGGTGAGGCTGCAGGATGCTAGCAGACATTATCCAAAAGGACGGCAGGGTTGCCGAAGAAATGGGGTCCTATTGTGCTACAGCAAGCTCTATGCTGGAACTGCAGTCCATCACAAGCAGGGCTACAATAGTTAGGAATCCGCTTGGTGCCAAACACAGATTTTCGAGTGACTGGAGAAGGGCTGCACAGAACAGATACGAACTGACATATGTAGAATACAATTTTCCTTGCCAATGTGTGGGCACCACTGGAACATGTTGAGGCAGCAGTGTAATTGCCTGGTGTCGCTTTTTGTACCCCTGCTCCCATTTTGATGTTTGACAAGGTCATATGGCAAGCAGATGCGGCTACGCTTCTCGCGCATGGGAGCAGCTCATGTGTTCTTTATTTTCCGCTGCAATATCAACGCAGTGCACTGTATTTCACTATTTGCAAGTGTATGCTACAAGGGACCTGCATGATGACACGACAGTGCATAATTCTTCCATTTGTGCGGGCTCTGACTTAGCTTGGTGTTCATGTCATGTGCAGGAAGGAGATAGTTCGCAGACAAAAGTTGTTCTTAAGCAGTTGATTGTTCACTGGTCGTGTCTGGCTTTTGGGGAAGATTGGATTCTTCGGACCTTGCTGAAGCAAGGCTTAGCGGCAACAGTGTGCTGGCACCGGTGCAGGGGATGGCCACTTGTGTGGCATGTGGGCTTTTGCTGCATGCAGACAGGCTGGCATGAGATGGCACCATTGACGCAATTGAGCGAGTAGGTATCAGGTACAACGTGGGTCGCGAATTTGTGCTGGACCTCATTGAATATGTTCGCTGGAAGACTATCTCAAATGTTCGTAGCTTCTTTATTCTTGTAAACTAAGGGCGGTGGTCACGATTGGGAGTGGGGCACTCGTTTGGGCAGCATGGAGTGCGGCATTGTTTCTGATAGAGGATTGACTAGGTGAAAGGTTGCCTTCTACAAAGTGGTAGTAACGCAGGAACGTGGGGCAGGGCAACCCGTAGCCCCTGGCTGGTGTTCGAATTGCAATACAGACCGTCTGCAAGATCGAAATATGCCTTTACGGGCGATGTCCTCATGCTCCTCTGTTCCTGCGGCGGCCTTGCCTGTTTCTACCACCAATATGCTTCGAATCGAACTGCCACGCTGTGCAAGTGCAAGTGTGTGTGCCAGCACACTGCTGTGGCTTGTATTATTGATTTCAGGGCAGTGGTTCTTGGGCCTCGGCGTCCTGTGCAGTTATCATCTTATCCTGGGATGACCTTGGCAGCTGGGCTGTCTTGAGCCTGAAATGCAATAACGAAATTGAACTGAGAAAGGCGAACTCCATAGAGCTGGGCTGAATGTGCGGCCAAGGCGTGCAGGTGAGGATTGATAGTGCGTGTGGACACTGTGTGCCCGTCCCAGGCCCAGTCAAATCCTGGCCTGGTCGTACAGGGTTTCGAGGTGTGGGGCTGAAGAATCAGGGCTACGGGAGTCTAGTGCTCCAGAGTTATGGTGCTCTGGGACTCAAGGTATATTGGGGGCCACAGTGGGCACTTTTGGTGGAAGAAGTGTAGACAACGCTGGCAATTAATTTTGGGATGAGCCTGCAGGGTGTGTTTCGGCAAACTCCTTCCCTTCTCTCCAGGATGTTGCAGGTCGTGGGACATTGTGATGCTGCAGAGGGGGCACGTTTGTGCACGAACTGCAGTCGCTTTTCGCATCTGGCGTTGTGTGCGGTGCTGCAGCAGTGCAGGCCTAGATCAGGGGCCAGATGAACGCATATTCAGGCTGCTGATTGCCTCCGTGTGGGGCACGTTGAAGACGTCAGCCATCGTGCACGTCGCCCGGCCACATGCCTGCATGCGACACGTTGACCCGTAATTGGAGTGCATGCGGATGGGCGTCAGTTGCATGCAAAGTAAGACTACGAAGCGCTGTGTATCGTGGCCGCCATTGCCGCTGCAGAAGTAACGCATGTCAGCGCGGTAGGTACGCTGAAAGTAACAACTGGACCAGCGAGTTGACTTGTGGTGCCCATATTACAGTGGCTGTATGTTTGGCAGTCCGCCAGTGTTCCCTTTCGCGTTGGACGCTCGAGGCCCCTCTGCGAACTGGAACATGATTGCCCAATGCGGATGGTGCGTTCTGCATGTGAACGTCACTTTGGATGTGCCGAACTGCCACAGCGCTGATCACCTGAAAACGCGGACGGGTCCGCGGCAGGGTGGTTCTGCTATTTGGCAGATGTGACAAGAAAGTCGGGAGCAAGGACCCTGCCGGTAAAGCAACGACGAGTAGCGAACCTCACGGCCTTTGGGAACGATGGATGTTGGCAATCGAGAGGCCCATTCCAAGGCCAGCCATGCGATAATGGTGACCGGTTGCACCATAACGATGCGCTTGTGCAACTTCGCGGGCTTTTCGAGGTCCCTCTTGGTGGCCGTTCTTGTCATTTCTTCGTAAAAGCCTTCCCGTGCAGACGGTTCTTATTCTTTCACCGCAGTGTGACCTCGCCGGACTATCCACGGCGCAATCACCCGTTGATGGACCTGGAACACACTTTAGTCACTTCCCTGGACTTGCAGGGTGCGTTGGCATTGCCACGAATCCGCCATGCGTGTGTGCGTGCCCGTGCCAGTGGAATATTGATGACTTGTGCCTTAGGGACTTGGGGTCCTGAAGCTTACAACTCCCGTGGAGGGCGCGAGGACAGTCCCAGAATGTGCCGATTGAGGAATTTGGGGCTGCACAATTCTGGTTCACGTAAATTCTGGCAGGGAGTGTATGATTCGTGGGAATTCGGCAGATGGTGATAGGGAGAACCAACGAAAATGAGGATCGGAAGTGAGCCAGGGTTTACAATGTATCTTTTCGTTTGATGGCCTTCATCTGCCACAAATATTACGCATCAATCTGTCGGGCCTTGCAGAGAACGGAGGGCGAAGGAGGGTGACAGTGCAAGGGAGAACCTGTGGGTTTACGTGATACTGGTATTGTGTGGGTAATGGACAACTACTTGAAACAGTGTGTATGGAATTATACCCGGGCGTCGCCTGTAGTGGGCGAGTGTTGTGTTTTGTCCTTGCAGTATCAAAGGATGAGAGGTCGTGAATAGTCGCTGTCTAACGTGGCGCCGACTTCAGCACAATGCTAGCTGCGGCAGATAAGCACGTGGAGAACCCTGTGCCCCCGACAACGGCCGTGATCGAATTCATGCCGTGCGTTGCATTAGCTCCTCCAAATACCTCCGTATTTTCTTCTTTGGCGAGGCGTCTGTTCATCGTGTGACTCTTGACGGTTGCTGCGGAATGTTGCAGGACACTGCGGCCACCATGTCAGGGTGCTCCCAGCTGCTCTGGCTTGCCGTGCATCGCCTTCTTGGGCGATTGTTCCACCAAATGCAGGACAGAAAGGGAAAATTGCTCTGAAAAGGATTGAAATTCTGCAGCTGATGCACAAACCCGAAGATGGAAACTAGCTCTGAAAAGTGTGGAATTGCTGCAGCTGATGTACAAGGCCGAATGAGGCCAGAGTCCGCACACGGGCGCCCACAAGCGGCACACCCACTCATTTATTCGCAGCCTCCATCTCTCACGGATGCATACCCCCCTGCCTTCAGAACGAGCCCCAACACGGAGCCGGGCATATTCCCGTTTGTACTGCAGGCAATCAAACACTTGAAGAATGGATCCCCCCCACCCCCGCCCCCAGTACCGCTTTTCTCAGGTTGCCCTCCTCCCCTTCCCCCCTGGCATTTTTGGGGACCCTGCTGCTAGAGTACAGATTGCCGCCCTGGATTTTTTCAACCCGGTATTTTTTACACCCTCCCCTCTGCCCCGGCCCCGGCCCCTGCCTTCTCACAGTTTGGGGCCCTCCTCCCCTTCCTCCCTGGCATTTTTGGGGACCCTGCTGCTTGAGTACAGATTGCCGCCCTGGATTTTTTCACCCCGGGATTTTTTTACACCCTCCCCCCGCCCCGGCCCCGGCCCCTGCCTTCTCACAGTTTGGGGCCCTCCTCCCCTTCCTCGCTGGCATTTTTGGGGACCCTGCTGCTGGAGTACAGATTGCCGCCCTGGATTTTTTCACCCCGGGATTCTTATACACCCACCGCCCTGCCCCGGCCCCTGCCTTCTCACAGTTTGGGGCCGCGCACCTGCGCGAGAAGCTCGTGCGCCCGCCCGGCGTCGCCTCGCACCCGGCAGGCTAGCTCCACCCACTCCCGCGTCGTCTCGTCGGGCTCCAGCATGGCCGCCCGGATCTGCCCCACTACCTCGGCGACCTCATCGACCCGCCCCACCCGCGCCAGCGCTTTGAGCGCCGAGTTGTAGGTGTCCAGGTCGATCGGGATCCCGGCCTCCTGCATGCTCCTCAGCAGGTCCAGGCCCATTGCCCAGCGGCTCCCCGCCTCCAGGGCGGCCATCAGCGCCCTGCAGGTGTGCGGGTCCACGTCGCAGCCCACCGCCTGCATCGTCAGGAACAGCTCCACGGCCTTGTCCCAGCCCTTGGCGTTCTGTATCAGCTCGCAGTACAGGCCCGGCGGGCCCGTGAGCCCCCGGCAGTGCATCTGATCCAGGATCGCCTCCGCGCGGTCCCACTGGTGCGAGCCCTCGCAGGCGCCCAGGACGGAGGTGAAGGTCGCCTGGTCGGGCACGATGCCGGCGTCCAGCATCTCCTCGTACACCCGGAGGGCCATGTCGAACTTGCCGCCTCGCTCGCAGGCAGCGATCAGCGCCCCGAAGGTGACCTGGTTGGGCTTGCAGCTGGGGTCGCTCTTGGCGGCGCGCTTCATGTCCTCGAAGACGCCCAGAGCCTGGTCCCACTCGCCGGAGCTGGAACAGGCGCTGATGAGAGCGCTGCGCGAAGGCACGTCCAAGCACACAGGTCAGACGCGCGAAACTGTTGCGTCCTTGGTGGAGAGAGACATCCTAATGCGCGTGCGGGGAGAGCTAATTTTGACAAAGGGAGGGGTACCCGGCCACGCCAGGGTGCCGTTTCCAGCGCCAGGACGTCCGGGGCGCTTTGCCACACTGCTAAACTGTGGGCCTGGGGTGTTTCTGAATGCAGGAGCAGCGGCACGCGGCGTATGATTGTGGGACTGTACGGTTCATCGCGCCAGGTTGAGCGACAGAACTCCACGATTCGCGTCAGGCAACAATGGTTGAGGCATTACGCATCCAAAAAACCCCAGGCCACAGGCGCGCCGCCGTCCAACTCACTCCCGCACACGAGTGGCGTGAGTGAGTGGACTGAGTGAAAGAGTGCCTGGGCGCTCCTCACCTGTACGTGTACTTGTTGGGGCGCACGCTGCGGACGCCCTTCATGGCGCTGAACACCTCCTTGGCCTTCCTCCAGTCGCGCATCTTGCCGCAGAGGTCGATCAGCGTCGTGAAGGCCTGCTCGCGGGGCCTGCGCAAGCCAACCACCAGAGCGAATCAGGCTCAGGAGGCCGCCCCACACCGCCCCACCGGCCCTCGCGCGGGATGGCGGATGGGCGCCGGGGCCCACCGCGGCGACAGGACGCACCTGAATGTGCACTGCGAGATCGCCTCCTCGACCTTGCCCGTGCCGGCCTTGGCGTGGATGATCGCCGCCTTCAGCGTCTCCATGTCCCAGGCCGCGCTGGGCACCGACACGCCGGCCATCGCAGGGATGAACTCCGGGCCCCAGAACTCCCCCGCCCGCCTCCCCTGGCGGCCCGCCCCCGGCCCCCCCTGCCTCCCGCCACCGCGGCCACCCTGGCCCCACCCCGCCGGCACCCCGCTCTTCGCGAAGGGCGCCCCGCCCTTCTTGCGACACTTCCCCCCCCTGGCGGGGGCGGACACCATGATCGGCCGCCTAGCACCGAGTCCGCCAAAAACGGCAAAGTCTGGGACCGCAGTCGCGCGCGAATGTACGACAGCCCCCCGCTCTTGGGGCCTCGCCGATCGCCGTGGAGGCGCCGACTGGAGGCGCACGGCTGCACGGAGGAGAGGTGAGCGGCGCCGGGAAAAGCGGGCTCCCAAGCGACTGGCTTCTGAGTCGCGAACTGCACGAGGAGGGGGGATTTGAAGTCAGGTGGGTGACTTCCGGTGGGGGGCGCGAGGCGGGAGCATGGGTGGGACGCGGCCCGCGCACAGTGTGTTGGGCACCCGGAAATGTGATCTAGGGGCCGCGGGGGGGGCGGTGCCAGTCATCTTCGAGGGCCATCACGCGGCGCTTGGTGACGGAAGGGGGCGCACCCCCCGCGTGACAAATGGGTACGGAGGCGGGCCGCGGGGCTTGTTGTGTTGGCGCGCCGCGGGGGCTTTACATAGACCAGGCGCTGGAGGCCCGATCGGCGGCCGCTAGTGAGACGCTTTCCCGTTCAGTTGGGATCACGTGAGGGGTGGAGAGCCTGGGAGTGACGGGGCTGGTCTGTCGCTGGTGTGCTCGGATGTCTGCGGACCAACGACGCCCGCTTGTACCGCCGTTGGTCACTGCGCTGCCAGGCGCGGCGCTGCATGTGCGCCTGGGGCTGGGCATATCACTGAATCACTGTGTTGAAGGTGGCATGCAAGTTGCGTGCAGTCAGGGTCGGCAAGTTGCGACTCTTGCTGCGTCATTCCTGGCGGGCACGTCGCGGACGCAGCGTCACGGCAGCTACCCTCCTAAAATGACGTCGCTGTTTGACAAATTGATGGGACAGTGAGCCAACTTGGCCAGCACACGGCAGCAGGACACTTCTGAGCGTATGCAGAAAGAACGCTGCCCTCACATAACTCTGATTGTGCTAAAGAACGCAAGCCGCCACAATCTGAGTCTACAAAGCCGCGCGTGGTTGCCATTGACAGCTGTCCCCAAGATGTGTGTGTGTGTTGGGGGGGGATTCTTTGGTGCACGTCCACAAGAAAAATCTCGTTTGAACAATCCAAAAATGCACAAGCGACAGAAGAGCGACAGAGAGTGAGGATCTGACCAATCTTCGGCAAATTGTTGTGGATGTTCTGCTAAAACGGTGCTCGTGGCAAACTGCTTCTGCATGAGTAGGGCAAACATCGAGGAGAAAATTGCACCTGCACACCCCATTGACACTTGCTCAGGTGGCCGCACATCACAGATTAATCCACTGAATACCACGAGAATACAAGTACGTATTTGGCAGCAACCAAATCAACACCCTCTTGTTCAAGCAAGAGGAAGCTGAGTTGATGCCTCCCACACCCTCCCAGACAAGGACCACCCTGCACTCATGGTCCCATAGTAGGACGGGCATTTTCAGCGGTGTCCTAGCATTGTGCATTTTGTTCCTGCAATGATTCGAAAGGATCATCACCTGCAATTTTGTGGTCTATTTCTCCTAAGCCTTGTGTGTGAAATCAAGCCGCGACTGGTACACTTCAGTTTCCTAGGCTGTGCTAGATTACACCGACTAGGGCGCTTCCCTATAATGTGGGGGTTTGCCATGGGTCGGGGTGGAGATGTGGACACACTTTGTTGTAGGTTGGTAGGGTCAAATGCACACACTGGGCGTTTTAATGCTGTTCTTTTTGTTTCGCTGAGGCATGTTTTGGAGGTTGAACCTAAACGTTCATGGCTTGAAAAAAAGACAAAACCGGTCGTCCTAGCCAGGCTAGGACCAAAAACACGGCCCGTGGTCTTAATGGCACGTTTTCAGCAGCTCGCAGGCATGAAATTGTCAATTTTGCGCAGCTGCGACCCGCGTTTCAGCCATGCTGAACTGCGTGAAATTAGTAGATTGCGCATCAGCACTGTACGGTATACTTGCCCAGGGTCATGTCTTGCAATCGAAACAGCGTTTTCGAACCGCTGTTTGCTCCCATTGCCTCTAGGAAAGTGGCATCGTCGCCTGCCCAGATGAGCGGACAGGTCAACAGAAGGCACCTATGTTTCTCGCCTCATCATCCTAACGTGCTCACCAACGTTGACGCACGGCTGCCGGGCAGACTCGTTGTTCTGAAAAACCAAAGGGATTGACCTGCCGGATTGGCGCCCTGCCAACAACGCCGCTCTGCGTGGCTTGTCAATTTGTCGAATGGAAACTACTGCCCACGTCACCCCAATGGGATTGGAGCATTGTGCGACCTTACGTCATGACCGCTGGAAATACCGGCGAATAAACGTCCATGGAGCTCGTAGCAACGGCCGCCTGTCGCTGGACGCGAACGCGGTGGTGAATCACCAGTTTCCCAAGCGCAAGTTCAGTGTGCTGTGCGCATGCGATGCTGCGCCAATGCGCTGAGGTATTGCTGCCTGGGAGCAATAATGATAGCCCCAGAGCATGCCAATGTGCACACCATTGTTGTTCCTTGGATACGAACATGCTTTGGGAGCACCATGCTTGCACTCATTGTTCGAAGTCGCAGGCCTGATGAAAAGGGTTTGCCTTGTCATGTTGTGACACGCATACAATCAATGGAATTGTGCACCGATATTACCCAACACGCAGCGCAACCGTACTGCTACATCTCCACGTAACTAGTCCTTATGGCACCCACGAGCAGAAGCGGCAGCTCACCACGTAAGACCATTGGATTACGCGAACCTCTCGTTATAGCAGCTATCTATTATGATGCGCTCACCTCGTCGTGTTGTGACAAGTACGTAATCAATGGAATTGGACACAATTATTACCAACCGTGCAGCGCAATCGTACTGCTGCGACTCCACGTAACTTGTCCTTACGGCACCCGGCAGCAAAAGCGGAAACTGACCACGTAAGGCCGCTGGATTACGCGAACCTCTCTTTATAGCAGCTATCTATTCTGATGCGCTCACCTCGTCGTGTTGTGACAAGTACGTAATCAATCGAATTGGACACAATTATTACCAACCGTGCAGCGCAATCGTACTGCTGCGACTCCACGTAACTTGTCCTTACGGCACCCGGCAGCAAAAGCGGAAGCTGACCACGTAAAGCCGCTGGATTACGCGAACCTCTCGTTATAGCAGCTATCTATTTTGATGCGCTCACCTCGTCGTGTTGTGGCAAGTATGTAATCAATGGAATTGGACACAATTATTACCAACCGTGCAGCTCAATCGTACTGCTGCGACTCCACGTACTCTTGTCCTTACGGCACCCGGCAGCAAAAGCGGAAACTGACCACGTAAGACCGTTGGATTACGCGAACCTCTCGTTGCAACGGTTATAAGAACAAGCGCACCAGTCTCCCTGCCACAGCAGTTCGTGCCAGTCGCGCTCGCCCACAGCAGCCCCCGCCGTCCAGCCAGTCCGCAGCCCGCTTGAGCGACGATGGCCGACGACAAGTCCGGAGCGCTGGCGGAGGTCACGACAACCAGCGCCTCCTGGGTGGCAGCGTTCTGCGCGGGCGACGTGGACACCTGCGCCTCTCTGTACAGGGAGGACGCCCTCATGGTGGCGCAGCCCTTCGGCTCCTTCGAGGGGCGCAAGGCCATCGACGAGTTCTGGCGCAAGCTGGTGGCCGACGGTGCGCGCGACCTCAAGTACGCCAACACCAAGATGGAGGCGCTGGACGGCGGCAACGTGCTGCTGTCGGCGGACTGGACCATGAACATCGGCGGCGGCGTGATCACCAAGGAGCACTGGTGAGGCGTAGGGGGGCCGCGGAAGGGGGCTCATGGCGGCAGTGGTTGTCTTGCCGGCTCGCTGGCACACCCTGGGCGGTCCCTGTGCACCGCCCATGCTTGCCCGACGATCGCCATTAGACGATCGTCCACCCTTTACGTGCTGGCACACCTCGCGGCGCAGTGAAATGAAGCGACCGAAAGAAGCGGGCTCTGCGCAACGTTTGGCGCGGCGTTCTTGGCTGTCTGGAATGTGTTTCCATGTGACTGCGCTCCGTGGCGGCAGCGAGTGTGCCGCTCCCGTGCTTTTTCGCCTCCGTGCCTCCACCCTCAGTCGCCGATTCGGTAGCTTGGTGTCCTCAGGGAGAAACAGGCGGACGGCAAGTGGCTGCTGAAGGAGGACCATTTCGAGGTCAGGGACCAGGCGTCCTCCGAGTAGAAAGTTGCAAGCCACTGTGGGGCCGGGCCGGGGACGTGGATGGGATAACGTTATGGGATAACGAGAGTGAGCGGTGGTGCCGGTGACGATTCTGCCGGACAGCACGGACGGTAGGGGTGACTGGTATTGTGCAGCTTGATTTCGAAGGGAGGTAGCTGGGGGCCTGGCCTTGGGATTTCCCGGTGGCAGCGGCCTGAACACCGGATCGCATAGCGTCCTCTGTGTGATGGGGACAGGTCTAGAGAGTACCAGCAGCACAACAACGTTTGTGTATCGCCAGTGCACTGTCTAGCAACGTTTCCAAAGGGCGTCCTGTCTTGGGTTTGTGCTGCCTATGACCCGGACCTTCCCGGCCGGAGAGTCTGTCCTGGAGTCGCACATGACGTGCCAGGAAGGATTTTCTGCCTGCTGGGTTGGGTGTCTCCCAACACAAGCGGGCAGCAGGTTCCCGAAGACCTCACGGGGAGGACGACCCTGTTGCCTGCGGCCCACAACCGCGGCCGTCTTTTTGCCAACCGTTGTCGTTGCCCCCCGTATACCAACAGCCCGGGCTGACACACAGCAGCCCAGCGGCTTCCCAGGCCACTCCGCTCCACCCGACTCCCACGCGCGTTGCCCGCCCGCTGGCGTGCGCTCTGCCGGGGCACCAGTGCCTTCGCTGGCAGCCTTGCGCGAGACACACGCCTTCCGTGGTCCATGCGCTCTCAACGGCTCGTCGACAATGCGCCCCAGGCAGATCGCTTCCACACCCTCACGAAACAGGCAGAACACAGCGACACAAACAGTTCCCGGCCTTCGCCATCGCACGCACGCAGGCCATTCCCCAAAACACACTTTCCTGACCTCAAGCCTCCCCCTTGTGCTCCCCGCACACCCCACACTGCCCACACTCCGCACACTCTCACCGGCTTCCGCGTGGGTCCGCTCCTTCGCCCGTCTCGATCCCGCCCCAGCCACAAAACGATCCGCCGGGTCGGAGTCACTCGGCTTCTCCCGCACGTTCTGGGTTTGGACAGCCCGCCACCTTGGTCCCCCTCGCCAACGCCGCCGCGCACAGGCCCCAGGAGCACCCAAAGGAGCTCCAAGGAGGATGCCTACGTGGCAGGGACACACCCATGCGGAATGACCCAGGCCGGTCCCAGTCACCGCCGCCCCACCCCCATGCTCCCACCCGCCGCCGCGGGCACCAAAAGGCCAAGGGCGCCCGCGACGGTCACCGCGCCGCGCCCAGCCGCTTCGCAAGTTCGCAGTTAGCGGCGCCATGAACCGCACGCCGTCCGCATCCATCAGGCCGTGCCCGGCACCCGTGCAGGGGGGCGCCGGCCTGATCGCCAGCAGGACCGCCAGCCCCAGGGGCGCTGAGCCGACCGGTAAGGGAGAGATTTATTGTGAGGAGGGAAAGAAACGGGTCACACAAAGGGCGGCCCCTCCTGAGCAAGTGCGCGTGAGACTCCTTTCCGCGCTGTGAAAGGATGATATGGAGTCTCCGATGCGAAGTGATGAGCGCCCAGCGCAAGTGACCGGTTGTTGCCCATGCTGCAATTGCTGTCGGCCTTGGGGCGATGCCAAATTTCAAGGCTTGGGGCGGATGTACTGACGGGAGGGGGCCGCGCTTTTGGGCAGAGTCCGGAGAGTGGGACGCCAGGCGAGAGCTGCGGTCGGTGCAGGGGCCGAGGAAGCGGCGCAGGTCGCCGGAGAAAGTGCGCGTGGAGCTCGGCGGCCGGCAGGACAAGAAGCGGAACAGATTGCGGGTGGGTGGGTGAGGGGCGCCGGCTTGCGGTTGTGCGCCGGCGTCGATTATGCGCGATCGCCGCGAGCCGCCTCGTGGCGGTGCTGCCGGGGGATCGTCGGCCTCGGGGCAATTCCACTGTCGTTGCCGTCGGACGATCGCCGTTGTTTCGTTTGGGGGACGATTTGGGATTTTGCGCAAAGGTCTCACGCGCCTGCAGCGACTGGGAAACGTGCGTCGCGGTTGGTCGCACCTCGCTGTCGCGCCCATGGGAAGCTGGAGGCTGTCGGTGGTCGGAGACGCGCACCCGTGGCCTCCCCATTGAAATCGCTGGAGACAGCGCCGGGTGCTGCCGCCTGGTGTTCGCTTAGCATCTGCACATAAAATGATGGCTTGGCGCCAATGATCGGCGTGGCGGTGCCTCAAGAACGGCTGCAAGGAGTTTCGAAACTTAACAACGAAATACCCTTGGAGATTTATGTCCATCAGCTCCTGTCCGCAGGCCTCATCTCGTGCGCTTGTCCACCTTCCTGGCGTGCCTCGTTTCTCTTTGCCGCCCTTCCTGGACTTGTTCCACGTGAAACTCGCAATGTTGCCCAGGGCAGCCATGGCCAACGATATCACACAACTCTGGGCTGTGCTTCGCGTGTGCTGTGAAAAAAGGAAAACGCTTGCTTCATTCATTATAGCTGGGCTTCATGAGCCGAAGGCTGGCACCCTCACACAGCAGAGAAGCTGTTGTGCCGCGGGCGGGGTGGGGGGGGTGGGGGGGTGGGGGGCGCTCTCGATGCAACAAAGCTTGATCGAGTATTGATGCTGACAGTCATTCGCCCTGTGGGCCTTCAGGAATTGCAGCCGCTCCAGACGTTGTGCCAAGGGGCTGGCGAGGGGGCATCTGCCCTGGAGGTCGATGTGGACCAGTACACAGGTCCAGTGGTGCTGACCCCAGAGGAAGATGGCATTCTCCCTGGGGAGATCCGCGTGATCCCGTCGGGCGAGGCTGATGCAGAACTGCAAGAGTACCTGGTGCAAGACTACATGCAGCAGTTTGCAGTCATACGCTCCCTGCCATCCCTGGAGTCCCTGGTGGACAAGTGGCGGCTCCCCATCCTGCCTATGCCATTGAGGTCCTTCTCCCAACGGCAGACCCTGGTGCTGGATTTGGACGAGACTTTGGTGCACTCTTGGATAAACGAGGGCGACCATGAGCACGACCTCATGTTCAAGGTGTCACTAGTGACGCCAGATGACACGGCAGTGTTTGTGAGGTTGCGTCCCCACTTGTTGTACTTCCTGGAGCACGTCTCTAAGTGGTTTGAGGTCGTGGTGTTCACTGCCTCCCAGAAGGCCTATGCTGACAAGCTGCTCACCATACTCGATCCAGGCAAGGGACTTTGGATGTTCTGTTGTGGGGTTGAGAGATTGTATGTAGTGTCAGGTTGCAGTAGTTCTGTTGTGTATCCATTGTCAACATCGACATTGCCCTGGGCTTGCACATTCGAGCCAGTGATGGGAGTTTCCAGTCAGAATGTGTGGCCAGATATCAGCCAGGCTGGTGATGTGTATTCATGCATATGGTCGGTTGTGGTCTAGTCTGGTCTGTTGTCATTTGAAAAATTAAGATTTGTGTGCATAGAATGGCATCAATGGATCGTCAACATGAAGCTGCCAATATGGAGTTGCGTACAGTGAATTTGTGCAGCTATTGAACCTGTATGCGAATTGATGATTGACAATGGGAAGTTGGTGCTGTGTTGTTTACTTGTGAATTATGTCCGCTGAGTATTTTCAATTCAGCACAATTGCTGCCCTATAAATGCCTGCTTGTTGTGCTGGGCACTCAGGTCATCCCAGGAAGCAACCCACAGCATGCAGTAATGGTATCAGTGTGTGTCTTTTCCAAGTCACATGTCTACCATTGTTGTCCTCCACTTCCCGGAGCAGATTGTTGCTTTTGCCCTTGTGATGGCGATGCCCTGCTGGAAGTTTGACGAACTATGCTCACAAACAGGACAGAGCAGCCTTACGCATCTGCAAGATGCAGGCACAAGAATGACGTCAACATAAAATCAGGACTGGATCATGAAGTGCAGGCACTCATCTTGTGGCGAACAAGCATGGAACCACCCTAGTTACTGGCTTGTTGTCCCCATGGATGTTCCTCCACCGCTGTTTACACTACCTGAAACAGTCTCACTGCCCTCAAGGGCTCCATTCTGCTGAACTGCATGGCCTCTGACAACTTCACCCAATTTGCACACAGGAAGGAGGTTCTTCAAACACAGAGTGTTTCGAGAGTCGTGCGTTGAGCTCATGGGCATGTACTTCAAGGACCTCACTCTTTTGGGGCGCGACCTGGCGAGGACTGTCATTGTTGATAACCAACCACAAGTTTTTGGCCTCCAAGTGGACAATGGCATCCCCATAGCCTCCTTCTACGACAACAGGGACGACACTGAGCTGTTGAAGCTGCTGACATTCCTGCAAAAGATGATGAACACAGCCGATGTGAGGCCTTTGTTACAAGAGAAATTCGGGCTGCGACGAATGATTCATGGCTGATGGTTGTGACATGGGATGATGCTCATTTTGTTGGTGTTGATCAACATATGGGGGAGGCCATCGGTGAGCTTCTTCTAATTTAGTCATAGCCTATCATTTGAAGCTTGGACTTGTATGCAGTCAAGGCCCTTTGTGCATTGTTGAACTGGTGGAAATGCCTTGGTGTGAGCCCATCAGAATGGTAAGGTACAGAGGTGGACTTCATTTCGGCCTGGGTCTTATTGCACGCCACAAGGTCTCACCAAAGCTTGCTTGGGTGCCACAGTGTACTGGAGGGCTACAGGTGTAGTTATGGGCGCACGGCAACTGGCAGCTGCTGTTTGGCATGTGGGGCCATCAAGCCCCACTATGCTGCAAGGGTGACATGCTATCTGCTCCAAGAAACCCACATTTGTTGAGCGGCAACGGTGCATCAACGATGTACATTCTCTTGCAAGGCCTTGTTGTCATTGCTGGGCCTTTTGTCCTTCATCTCAGGTCGCTTTAGTTGCCCTTGGCAACTTTGCAGAATAGGCTTAGATTTTTTTCAGCAGGACAACGAGGCCAATGTCATTGCTGCTCTCGTTGTGTTGGGATTGATAGCTTTGTTGATCGGTGGCCACTGTGGATAGTGGTCAGAAAACCTGCAGCGGTGTCCGCACGGTGGAGGCGCTGGTGGGCGGCGAGAGACCATAGTTGGGAGCCTCAATTTTCGTGGCGATTGCCATCGCTATCTTTTTGATTTGCTTTTTGTAGCTTTCTTGGGGCACTGGCCCTTTTGCGTTGTTTCTTTTTGGGGAAATCACTGTATCTCTTGCTTTGTACGAATTTGGTGTAATCTATGATATATTGCTTTCAATCGTGCTTTATTGATTGGCGGCCGCCGTGCGAGTGGTTCGTGAAGGAAGCTCTGGATGGTCTTACGGAGGCCTGATGCGGCACGTGGAGCGGTTTTCCTGGACAGGAATGAGCTTTGTTGCATTCGCACAGCCATCAGGCCGAGTGTTCTGTACGGCTATCCTGACTCGCAGTGACTCGCTGCTTCGATTACTTCTTGCTTGGAAGGGCCTTGCCGGGTGGGGAAGCAAGCGTGCTTGGCATGCGTGTTGCACAACTACTGCAGCCTCAGAAAACTTCGCGACACAAAACCCGTCGCTTGCTTGGCGCTCGAGGGACTGTGGAAAAGCTCTCCCGCCCATATTTGCGTCATGTGAACATTTTCTGCCCGTGAGCCTTTTCGACCCCTCCAAATTCATCAATAAACGAATAAGCAGTGAATGTTGCGTACCGACGTGCAACGGCCTGTACCAGCCCCGTACGGACCTTGTACCAATCTGCTCCCTTATGCGTCGCGTCGGTCTGGTACGGTGAAGGAAAGTTTGGAGAAGGATGAAGCCCCGCCCAGCTCCTCAACACACCATGCTGAGGTCCTTTGCCCATCGTCTTTAGGACCTAATTGCGAACAATGCGCCCACCGTGAACATGACGACCCCCGCGGGCGCCCGGCTTGGGGTGGCTGCTGCGCGACTGGAGGGGAAGGGTGGCCTGGGCCGGTTCAGTGGACACGATGGCAGGTCTCGTGGACATTGAAGATTTGAGTGTCCAGGACGACGGCGGTGCTGCCGCAGACGCGCGGGGATCGCGGCCAGCCGTTGTGGGCCGGAGTGTGCGCGATCCGGTCCACAATGGGATGGGCGGAGGGCCGGGCGGCGGTGTGCCGGGCAGCCAATCGATCTGGGTGAAGACCTTCGGCTGCGCTCACAACCACAGCGACTCGGAGTAAGCTGCGAGGCTGATGATGCGAATCGACCGATGTCTGCACGGTGGATGCTGTCAAAACACAACGCCAGCATGGTTGCCAGGAAAACGCACCCGGTTGCACCCGGCTTAGCACGGTCCTCCTCACCTGCGCGCAGGTACCTGCAAGGGCAGCTGCAGGAGTATGGATACAGGTATGGCGCTGGACAAGGGTGCACTCTCCAGGGGTATCCAACTCCCTTGGTCACTTTCTGGCTTTCATTGCGCTGCAAAAGGGACAGACGAGGCAAACAAAAAGGCACAAATTGACACAGATTAAGCAACTGACAGCCACAGAACCCATCTCGAAGCATTGGGTCACATTTTGTCATCGCGGAGGAACTTCAAACACAAAGAACAAAAAATCCGGGCCTGGCTTTCAATAGATAGTTTTGAGGATTTTCAATTGTACAAAGCTAACACGTCTCACAGTGTCCGAGTCTCCAAGGGAGCCAGGCTGTCTGCCAACAAAAGATTTGCACCACTGTTTACATTGCTACCACCATACCTGGGCACGTGTTGGGTTGTCTTTTTGGTCACATAATGGACTTGGACGAGGGCCCGCCTACACAGCCACAAATCGTCACATCCGAGCAGGCCAACGGCCTGTTGAATTGGAGCCAGTGAAAATGTATTATATGTGGGCCGATGTTGTTGTCTTGAAGTGGGCCACCCATCAAGACCGCAGCATGGAGTAAAGAATATTCTGTCACAGGGGCACACAACAATGCATTATGATCGATGCGGCACATGTTTCACAAGCACGAAGTGAATAACTCGCAGTTCAGAAATGAATGGCTCTGTTTGGGCACCTGGAGCAGCGATTTGTGTCTACTGCTTTTGCTGTGTTTTATATGTTGCTGCATCATCTCACCCCAACCTGACAATTGTGTGCATCAACTAGCCAGTACTCCTGAATCGTGCCATAGGGCTACTTGCTTGTTAGATGTGCTGTTATCAATTGCTTCTGCAGAAGTTCAAAGACTGCCTGCTTACCAACCCTCACCCCGAAACTGCTTCCAGGTCTTTGCCGATCCTTGCATACGCGCATCAAAGTATTACAGAATTTGGCCTCTCACTTTCGAGTCGCAGACAGCATAGGTGTACCTTGTCAAGGATTGGCCAGAATACCACACGGTTTCTGCCACTTCGGCATGCTGAAAATTTTGCATCACTTTGTAGCGGGTTTGTTCCTCAGCATTCTGCCCAATGAGGTTCACCCAGTTTTTTGTAGGCTGGCACCTGGCTGTGGACGGACTGCAAGAACAGGGGAATGGGCTGGACGACATTGGGACTGGAACAAACATGCCTTTTTGAGTACATCAGAGGTCGTTGTTACAATGCTAGCATTGCAGGGCCCAGAGCACACAGAAAATCCTAGTATGTTGTTGTTCTTATCACAGCATGCTACTTCCAAAACCCCCACAAGATTCGCTCTCAGATATGAATGTCACAGCTTCCTGGCTAAGGAGTGTCTCAAAAGCTCCATTCCAAGGTGCCAACTCTCAGATCGCCAGGTTTACAAGCGTGCCTGACTATATTTTTTGCTTATGTGCCCCAAGTCAGGCTGCTGGACGACGATGACAGTGCCTCTGCAGATCTTTGGCTTGTAAACACTTGCACTGTGAAGGGGCCCAGCGAATCAGCAATGTCTACAATTTTAAGGGAGGGCAAGAGCACGGGAAAGAGGCTCGTTGTGGCAGGCTGTGTGCCTCAAGGGGACAGAAAGCACAGGGACCTGGAGGGCCTGAGCATCGTTGGTGAGCCATAGGCACACTGATGGCCTTCGAAATCCTGGAGGATGGGCGGGGCTGAGATGAGGCTTCCAGGTGTTTGGAACCCTTTTCTAGTTGGTCACCAGGCAGAACAATTGCTCCGGTTAAGTCTGAGCAAACCATTGTCCAATCTTTGGAACCAAGTACAATGCAGGGCAGAATGAATCCGAGTATTGCTTCCCTGCTATTTTACCCACAACGCCTCAGCATCTGGCTATGCATTTTGCAGATAGACTTACCAGCCAGCGTGCATTGCTTAAGAGGGCAAGAAATGCTTGCGCAGGCTGCTGGGGTGCTGCCTTTGACACAGTTATGGTGAGATGATGTTTAAACCAAAGCGCTTGCTGCTTTGGCTTGGTACTGCAATGAAAGTTGCCAGCCCCCATTGCAATCCTGGCTATTACTAACCAGAGGTAGGTGCTGTGTGGTGTCCCTAACTTAATCTCCAAAGTGCATCTGCATGTGAACCTTGTGGCAGGGGCATCCCTGCAATAGCTGCGTGCATTGGGGGTATTTGATGTGTGAAATCTGAAGCAGGACACCCCCGTTGTCGCCCTGGATGGTGCTGGAGCAGCGGTTTGTCACCTGGTAGATGGAATTTTTGGTTTTGGTTTGTTGGAGAAGAAGAAATGATTGCTTTGCATCGGACACAGCGACGATGGGCAGATCTTGCTCCCAGCTGTATTTGCGCCGCTTTTAAGGAAACAAGATCCAATGAAACCTCAAGCTCCGAAAAAAAGGAAATTTTGGGAGAAATGCCCAGGGATTGCCGACCTTTCTACTATAGAAAGTGCATGCAGCCTGGAACCGCTGTGCGGTTGTGACAAATTTATCGAAGCAAGATGTTGCCAGGGGCAGGGTAGTCATACAGTGTGATTTTCCACCTTCCTGCCAGTGGTGCTCACCAGAAGCTTTCAGCTGCTGCCCAATGTGTGTGTTCAAGTGCTGCTGCTGTACAAGGTAAATGGTTTTGACCTACGAATGGCGTCGGAGTCACGATGCTCAATGTTGTTGTTCTGTTGGGCTCTTAGGTGTTGCACAGATAGATCGGGTTGTGGAGGTGGTGGAAGAGACCTTGAAAGGGAATGTGGTTCGTCTCCTTGGCAAGAAAAAGACACTGCCAAGGCTGGACCTGCCGAAAGTCAGGAGAAACAGTCATGTGGAAATTGTCCCCTTGTCCACAGGCTGCCTGGGAAGGTGTACATATTGCAAGGTGAGGGCTTTGCACAGCACAACACAAGCCAACTTGTGCAGAAACAGATGCTAAGTTGCAGCCGAAGTCAACTGAGAAGAGCTGTTGCACCAGTGGATTGCAGCAGTTTTCCACAATTCAGTGAATCCTATGATGTGCAGATTTTGGACATGCACATGCTAGAGATATTTCAACTCTGACTGTTTCTGTAGCTTTGAGAAGGTCCTTGAAATTCTGAAGAGATATTCCTCTGGTCGACGATCCGTGCACATACATTGAGCACAGACTGTGGATATGTGACTTGGAGGACACCGGACATTTTGATGGCTGTCCTGAGCAGCTGCTGCTTGGCCCATGACTTCCATTTTTGGCCAGTACATTGTGACCTATTAGAAAGAGGATAATCGGAATGCTCTTGTTGGACATCTTGGCTCTGCAGGCAACCAACAGTTTGTGTGCAATCTTGTCAACACAAGACAAGACTGGCCGTTTCACCAATCTGGCGATGACGGACAAACATTGTGTGCGACTGTGTGCATATTTTAGACAAAACATGCTCGTGGAGAACTGGGAAGCTATGACTTGGAAGCCTTGGTCAGCCGGGTTCAGCACATTGTCCAGGACCCTGAAGTAAGCTCATGCCTCATGCCTACACCTCCTGATAGTGGGCATTTGTTGGAAGTTTGTTGTCAATAGCCAGCTTCAGAATGGCACAATTTTGGGCTTTGAAAATGTTGGTGTTCAATGTGGTTATGAGACCTGGGGAGTGCATGCCATGTGTTTATGGCTGGGTACAGGGCTTGGTTTCCACAAAGGGATTTGGTGACTTGGAGCCACACTAATCGTCCGCAGAGCACCACCTGTTGGCAAGAAACTTTTGCTGCTACAGTACAGGTTTTGGACCTTGGCTGTTGTTGTTACAGGCTTGTGAACCATTGCTGCACTGCAGTTACTGTTTGCTAATGAAATGATGAGCACGTGCTGGCAGCACCCATTTCAACTCCTGGGGGATGAAATCATGCAGAAGTGTTTGCCAAGAAGCTCTTTCACCACACAGGTTGCTGCAGCATGGTCAGTCTGACAGTTGGAATCCTGATAGTGTACTGACTACTGCCTGCATTCTTCCAATGATGGAGTATGCTGCAGACTGCCACTTGAGACAATGACTTGTTGTTCATCATTTGTTAAGAACATCAGTATTGATGCTGTGGCTGCTTGTGGTAGGTCCGGGAAATCTGGTTGAGCAGTGAAGACACAGGTGCGCACAACACAATCGACAACCTGCCTCTTGCATTGTGCAGATAGTGCTGCAGAGAAGACACATGAACTGTCTGATGTGTGCTTGCCTGGCTATCCCCCAGCAGCAATATGTCTCTTGGGAAGTTCCAGGAATGCACAAGGCACTTGTTACATAGCTGTCAATGCTAAGCAGCACTTCATCACACCATTTCCTACGTGCTTACCACGCAATCTCAACAAATTCTGGATCCTCTTCACCAGTGTTATGGACAGTCTGTGCTGGCCCTCACATCAAAGTTGATCTGCTTTATGCACAGAGTGTGTGCCATAAGATTTGTTTGTTCAGGCATGCTTTCCACCTTCGCTTTTATCCTGACCATTGTACTTATCTGACATGAATTTTTGTGAACTGTTGTGCATGCTATTAAAGGGGAAAAACAGTTCAGAAAAACTCATTTCAGAGAAGTACAATGTTTGGGATAAAGACGCTACACCATGACCCATACCCCCGGGCCTCAGAGAGCCCAGCCACAGAAACCATGTTGTCAGGGACGTGTTGGCTCCCTTGATCAATTGTTCATCTATTGCCTTTGTCATCTCACCTGTTCAGCATTGTCTTGAATCCTGACGCCTTTGAAGGGCGTGTAACGAGCGTTCTCGAACAAATGGCATGGATATTATTTTGCCCATTGTAGTCTTGGGGGTGCAATGACAGCTCATTGTATTATTTTGGCAAGCAGCAGAACTTACAAATTCGCTCTTGCACACTTCCAGCTGCAGGCCCATATAGGCAGCATGTTGTAGCAGTGAATGGGATTCCATGGATTATAGGTGTGTGAAAGCTGTGGCAGGGAAAGGCCTTGTGCCCTGGAGGCGATGATGGGGTACAAAATCCCAGCCAGCATTTGTTCAATGTCCCCCAGGTGCATAGCCCCACACACCACACAATGGCACAACACGAAAAATGGCAGCAGAATAGCAGTCGTGAAGTCTCTGGGCCCTTGTCTCCAGGTGCATATGGCCGCGATCTGGGCACCAGCCTTCCTGCCCTGCTGCAGCGGCTTGTTGCTGTGCTGCCCCCCGATGGCAGGGCGATGCTTCGGCTGGGAATGACGAATCCGCCATTCATCCTGGAGCACCTGGATGCTATAGCAGAATGCTTGAACCATCCTTGTGTCTTTTCATACATCCATGTGCCAGTGCAGTCTGGCAGCAATGATGTACTGGAAAGGATGAAGAGGGAGTATACAGTGGAAGGTGGGTGCACATTCCCCACTGGCTGCCAAGTTGCTACCTGTCTTTCAGCCTTTGCCCGCTGTTCAACATCATGTACAAATCGATGCCTATGGATGGCCTTGCCTTGATGCTGTTTGTAGCCATTGCTGTCGCTGGTTATCATCAAATGCTTTCTCCTTCCTCTGAGCCACAGAAACTGTACACTCCTCTTGGCAGGGGCACCCATGGGAGCTGTTGTTGGTGGCCGGGAGTGTTCCCAGTCCGATTTCTGGAGATCCAGGTCTCCGAGTTCGGCTGAAAATTTCCTGATATCCGGTGGCAGGGTCACCCAGTTTCTTTGGAGCAGCATTCTCTGAATGCTGACAGCACAGGTGTATGAACTTTTGCTGCAGGAAACTCTTGAATGTGGGGTAAGAGTTCACTGATGCATTGCAGCAATGCATGGAAACTGGCAGTGGAGTTCGCTGGCTCGCGACAATAAGGTGTCCTTTTTTGGTGTCAGAATTATCTCAATCAAGAAATAAAGAATCGTTACGTATCGATGCAAAGCACTACACGATGGTGGCAACTGGTGTGAGTGTCCACATATCTGTGTGTGCCTAAACTGTAGCCACTGCAGTAGGGCTTTCACCAAAGTGTGCACTGCAGGACTGTACAATGCCAACACATAGTCAACTTGTGCCTGTGTACATTTTCTGAACAGTCCAATATTGGCAACTGACAGTCACACATTGCAATAGTTGATTGGTGCCGTTCAATGCTTTGGCCATCTTAATGATTTATGCATTCTTTATTTTTTGAAGGTTGAGTTTGAATGTCGGCAACATACAGGCAGGCTTGTCAACGTTGAATCTTTGTTTTATGTTTGTCCTGTTGCTGAAGAGAATCTCTTCCATGCCTGCAGAATTCCAGCTGGTTTGCGACACACTGCTGCGATTGGTGCCCACACTGGAGTTAGCAACAGATATCATCTGTGGCTTCCCAGGCGAGACAGATGAGGACTTTGAGAGAACTTTAGACCTTGTTGCACACTACAGGTTTCCACACTGTCACATCAGTCAATTCTATCCGCGGCCTGGCACACCAGCAGCAAGGATGAAGAAGGTTGTGTCACAGGTATTTGTCAAAACGCAGCAGACATGGCCTTTTCAGCTCTTCAAGCGATGAGCTGGCTGCAGAATAATTGTATCATAGTACAACAGTATCACATTTCTTAACATCTGGAAGTCCTTGATAGCTGACCATGGATTCAGCACAGCTCCAAAGCCAACTGACATTGAGCAAATGGGTGCAGTGCATAGTTCTAGTGTTGTGGTGTGCACGTGCAGAATTGTTACAACACACTCTTGTAGTGCATTTAAGCCCAGGAGCTCATGTGCCGTGCTGTGCACACCCTGAGCAGTGTTGGTTCAAACCTAACAAGCGAAAGCAAGCATCAGCAAGGTGGACACTTAGACCCCGGTTTCACGACATTATCTTTGACATTCACCTTGGTCTTCACATTGAGCCTTGGATGAGCATGTTTTCTTGGCCTGCGCTTGCAGGTTGTGAAAGAGAGAAGTCGAAAAATGACAGCACTGGTAGACGGGTTTGAGGGGGTATATGAACACCTCGTGGGCTCTACCGTGCGAGTGTGGGTAGTGGACTTTGCGCCTGATGGCTGCCATCTTGTGGGGCACACTGAGACATACGCCCAGGTAAGCAGTGACACCCGGGAGATTTGATTGCATTGAATTTGAAGGCCTTGCATGCCATGAGTGCATTTGGAACAGACAGGCAACTTGATCTTTTGTCTTTCTATTCATACCTTCTGCGGTTTCTTGCACCAGTGTCTGGTTCATCGGCTGAAGACGACATGTGTGTACTGGCTGCACAGTAGAGTTTATGGGGATCCTCCGTGCAGGAACAGAATATTTATGCTGGCTACAACAAGTTGGCTCGACATCGCCACTGCTGTGCATTTGGCTTGTTCTTATCCTGTCAATGCCTTGCTCAGGTGCTTCTGCCTCCAGAGGATGGGCTCATGGGATCAGTGGTGCATGCAAAGATTATGTCCTCCTCACGATGGTCCGTTGTTGGAGAAGTCAAGGAAATATTGTTCAGGCCCCCTTCTTGTGAGCATGGCATGTCGATACAGTCCATGCACAACAGACCTCCAAGACAGGCCAGCCGTGCTCACAAGGCTGGCCACGTGCAAAGCAACAGTAAGGACGTTGAGGGGGAGTTGCAGAGCACACCAACACTGAAACGGTTGAAGAAAAGGAGAAAAGGGCCCTCTCTGGGCCCTGGACAGGGTAATGGACTTGAATCAGCTCCTGAGACTGGTCTTCGTCAGCATCTCCAACAGGACTGTGGAATCTGCAATGCAACGGAAGTGGGTGGGCTCAAGGTTGGACAGAGCAGAGCTGGTGGCAATGTTGCAATGGGCAGGGGCCCAAAGTTTGCAGATGACAGCACTGATTGTTTTGACACAAATGGTGATCACCAGGAGATGGCTGGTGCAACTGTCAGAGCCATCGGGGATGGCTCCTTGCCAGTGCTCAGTCAAGAGCCAGCCACTTTGGGGTTGAGCCACCTGTTCAATGCGGACGAATCAGAAACTGCAGTGAAGGTTTGGAAAAGGGAGAGTTTTGGGTGGAGAAGTTTGGGTGGGAGGAGTCTTGTGATTGCATGGGAGAATGTCGTTGACGATTTGATGAGAACAGGATTACTGATGGGGCTCCTGGGCATTTTAGTAGCCGGGCTGGCTGTGCTTTCGAGCGACACCACTGTTCAGCAGTTGTGACACATTGTCTGCCTTGGTGCTCATGCATGAGTTGACATGACGCATGCTGATCATGATGACTATGCATGTCCTCCTTTTCAGGACAGCCAGACTGTCATGGTGAGGCCGCAAAATCGCCTGGGGGCAAGGTGGCTGCTCTCCAACTGTGGATAGGGCCGCCCTTTCCAACTGCATGGTGACGCTGCGAACTGCCGGGCATCTAAGCAGGCTCAAGAAACGCGCTTCTTGTAACTGCAGGTAGGAAGCCTGGCGGTCAAAGGGCCCAATTTGCCGCATGCTCCACTCACTGTTGCCCTGGTGCGATTGAATTGAGGGTGCAATTGATAGTCTGCATGACACCAGTTCTTGCATTCGATCAGTTGGTGCACAAGCGAAATCGCCAAGGGATGCACCGATGCAACGGCGTGATTCGATGATGGCAGGCCACAGTCGGCAAGTTGCGTTCCGCCAACTGCCAAGAGCGGGGCTTGTGACAAATAGAAAGGGTACTGACCCAAGGATTGTGGTGGGTCCATGAGAGTGGGGTAAACAAACAGGTAACCGCTGGCTGGGTATCGCGTTGTATTGAAATATCTGCCATATGTCACATTGTGCACTGTAAACAAGGGACCTAAAGCATGTCCAATTCGAGGAATTATTTTTCCCCATGGCAAAGATTCTAAAAATTTGTGAATTTGTCATCCTAGAATACGACCATTGTCTCCTGACAACAGCTTGAGATGCACTTGACGAATTGCAAATGTCAAAAACCATTATTGACGGTTGGGGTTGCAATGGCACTTGATGCTATTCGGCCATGAGCAGTGCTATTTGGGCCCCGAATAGCACTGCTCGAGGCCAAATAGCGCCCAAGGATAGCACCCAGTCTAATTGTGTAGAACATTGCAGTGGTGCCATGATTCTATCTTGCCGAAATTTCCTTGCCAAAAGCACCCAACGTCACAGATTCCATAACGCTGGGTGCTATTGGCTAGGAAACTTTGGCCGAATAGCATCAGGGCACCACAGCATTGTTCTACGCAAATAGACTCGGTGCTATTCTGGGGTGCCATCTGTGATACGGATGCACGCAGGGGAGCAGTAGCACCTAGGGCTATTCGGCAAACACCGCCTTAGCAAGGCGGCACAGCAGCCAATGAGAACTGTTCCTGTATAGCATCGCTGGTGCAATGGCACAGACCGATAAAAATGCTCTTAGTGATGGTCTTTTGACATGTGCCAATCAGATGACCGAATAGCACCGCCAGGGCAATAGCAATCGCCAATAAAAATGTTGTCAGCTTCCATAAGGCTGAGAGCAATAAATCAAAACAGCGAAGTTACTTGGTGTTGGTGCCCATCCCCTACACGTACCCGCCCCCTCTCTGGGGGGTCCAACCATGTTAGCATTCATGGCCCTATGTTGGTGTCCAACTCACAGTACACACCCTGTGGCGCTGCCTTGGTGGACGGTAGTATTCATGCCTGCCGCTCTTCCCTGACATTGATGGTTGGCAACACAAGCCGCTCGCTTGTTGAGCAACCGCAGGCTGGTCGGAAAAGCTTGAGGGGCGGTTATGAACATTGATGATTGACGATCGAACGTGCAACCAGCATCTCAGTGATGGAGAGTGCATCTCCGGGACATGGGGAAGGGGTGGAACATGGCGAGGACCCACCGGGCCTCACCATCCTCGCCCTGGTGGAGAATGGCTGAGAGGCGAAGAGCCACAGCTGTGCTTGAGGAAGTACGTTTGCATCGGCGTTTGCTTTCCCACTCGCCATGGTCAAGAAAGCTGACTGTGCAATGCATTTTCGTTGTCGCCGTCCCATTGTGCGGTTGGAAAGACTCAATTTTCTGAGATTCCCCCCCTCCCTTCCATGGATTCAGGGTGAGAATACATTACTCTCCATTGTTGTTTGCTGAATTTCGGTTCTTGTTCCGCTGACAAGGCCAGTCCCGGTGCGTGGATCAGTAGTTGGGGTTTAGGGTGTCCGAAAACAAGAACCGAAATTCAGCAAACAAGAACGGGGACTAATTTTGTGCCATTCAGGGTTCATACCACGTCAGTATCCATGACTCAGCGTTCGTGCCCATGACCCAGCCCCAGCATCCGTCGCTCCATTTGGTGGTCCTGTCTGCGCGTGCTAATGCGGGTCATTCCCTGGCTGGCTTCCCTCAAATCTGCATCGCGACCTTGGTAATGCAGCCCTTCCTTCCCCCTGCGCGCCTGACCACGGGCGCCCCCTCCAGGTAAGCACATCACCAGCTAACGGATTACTTCCAAAAACGCATATTCTCAGCACAAGTCCGCGCTTCTGGCAGGAGGGCCAGGCCCTGGCGCCCTTCCCCTGACGGACCGCCGCTGACACACGGATTGCTGCCGCGGGCCTTCGCCCCCGCCCGACCCGGGGGCCTTATAGACCACCTCCAACTGGTTGATTGCTGCGGAGCGCCTTCATTCCAGGCCACACACCGCCGTTACAGGGGCCGCGTAATGTAGAGGCACCCCCCGCCAACGCAGTGACTGCTGCGGCCCTCTCCCCGCGCCAGTCCACACCCCGCCGCTGCTGCCGCGCGGGAGAGGCGCGCGCTGGGCGAATATGGCATCTTCGCCCCGAGATGCCAGGCGAGGCGGCAAGCCCGGCGGCGGCCACGCTGCCTTCGGCACCAAGGACATCTCCGCCTGGGGCAGTTTCGTCTTCAACTTCAACAACGCCACCGGCCCCGCCCTCGTGTGCCTGCCCCTCTGCGTCCAGCAGGTGCGCGCCGCGCCGCTGCGAGCCCCTCATCCCCACTTCCGGGGAAACGATCTGCCCGGACAGGTGCCTGCGCGCCGTTCCGGGTTGGCGGCGCGGCGCTCGGTGTCGCAGCATCCGGGGCTGATGCCCATGTGCCGTGGGCGCGGGCTTGCTTTGCCTGAAGGTGGCCGAAAAGGTGCCCGAAAAGTTGCCATGATTTTCGCCGGGAGTCCGGAAATCAGCATTTGGGGCGGGTCCGCGGGCTCGGCCCCGGCACGTGCTGGCGTCCGGCCGCCGCGCCCCGGCGGCGCGGGCGTGGCGTGCCGTCGGCAGCTCATCCCCGTGGGGCATCGCCGGGCCATGCCGCCTGCCCATCTGCCGTACAGTCATCCCCGTCAATGCCCAATCCCGCGCCGCGATTACCCTCGCCACCCCACGCGGCCATCCCGACAAATCCGCTGGGCCCCCGTGCCCCGATTGCGCCGCGCGGGTCGCATCGTTTCGCCTGGAGCGGCGATCTTCTCGCGGGACCTTGGGATGCCGGTGAAAATGCCACTTTCTCCACCTCCAGCAAATCCTGCGCCTAGGAATCCTTTCCGGTCCGCGCGGGACGCAGCCAAGCGGTGCGGAGGGCCCTCAGCTTGGGCGTGTGTCAGGACCTGCAGCGGAGGGGTGCGCACGGGGGCCAAGGGGAGGGCCCCCAATCGGGGCCGCTGCCGTGAGACCAAAATGCACAGTCAGCCGGGCAGTGCGTGGGCATGGACCGCCAGGCGGGCAGTGGCCCGCGTCCCCCGATAGCCCCTGCCATTCCTGTGCGGCATCGAATCCATTATTCGTTGTGTGACGCCGGGTCACGCGCGGGCCTGTGTAACGCCACGGCTTGCAAAAATCGGTTGATCGCGAGTGATTGAAAAGTGTTGGTGTCCCGCCGTGTCTCGCCTTTTCTGGACGAACACTGTTTGATATGATGATGTGGCATGACACAATGTGAATTATGTTCCTAATTCAGTGTTAATCAAATACTGAATAACAGTAAGTTATGATGACTCATGCTGGCAATTCAGCAGTCTGGGTTTGACATTTAGGGAACATAACTATTGAAGAAAACGCAACTTGGACAAGATGACAACAGCACAAGTTGGAGGTCTCCTTGCCTTGTGCTCGCATGTGAACAGCAACAGGCGTCATCACACGGAACACTGTAATTGGCAACTTTCCAGCATATTTCCATCTGCTTCACATCATCTCTCGCCACACTATTGAAGACCAATTCTTCAACTGCCCAGCAGCACATGACAAGCGTGAGCAAGAAATATGCAACTGGCTGGTTGGCAGCTTACCCATTTACAGATGCTTTGTCAATGCTTGACGTTGACTTAAAGGACACTATGTGCTTTGCATATTTATATATTGTATGCATTTTTCCTCTGTCCAAAATTGATTGTCGTCTGTTTGAAAGATAAATTTGCGACATTTAAACAGCTAAAAGAGGACACATTCGGCAAGATTACCTCCCAAACCTCAGACAAGCAGTTTTCGACGAACAGTGTGTCGACGCGCTCTCCTAGTAGACCCGAAGTTGCCTTGTGTTTGTCAAACAACGGTTTCTCACACTCGACGCCCATCGGTGATCCCCAAGGTTCTGAGTTGCGTGTGTTGTGTGCTCACCCTCTGCATCGGAGGCCCTATATCATCTTTTCACAGCATGGAAAAGAGCCTCACATATACTTGTCTAGGAGGGGGTGCCCTTTGTATGACCTGTTTCTTTTTCTTTTTGGAACAAATGTTACCCACGGTTCTGAGCTGTTCCAGTCCCTGCGAGTGGCAAAACGAAGTTGTTGCTGTCACAACGAAGTTCGACGTCCACCACGTGGAACAGAACTTGCCAAGCACGTTCGGCTATGCATGGATCGTTGCCTCAGAAGGCCTTTGCTACAACATCGACGATATCCGAGATCTGCCCTTTCCTTATTCTCCTCAACATTGCAAAGAGATGGCCGCTTTGCAGAAATGTCGAAAAGTCAAGGTTATGGCCGGAGGACGCTTGTCTCAAAATGGTATCGAATCCACAATCCCTAGCGGATTGACCTGAATTCTTCGCTGTATACTCCAAACTCTTGGGACAGCTTTGAAAGTGAGCCCAACGTGAAACTGAGGTCGCCTGTATGGGAGAAGGGTATTCGTGCCACATGTTGTTCCAAGCAACTCGTGGCTGCTGCATGTGTCACCAGCGATTTTGGGCATTATTCTGGTGGAGTTGTTCCCATATTGGCACTGGCTTCGTGCAAAATCACATGTTTTCAGTCAAGGCAGGGTAGGTCAAATCATCCAAGACTATGGACATCGCCTCTTGGCATAGATATTGAGCTCTAGCGATGTTGATGCAGCTCTTACCCTGCAAGCATAGCACACGAATGCCTCGAAACATGTGCGGACTGACTGCAACTCGAATGGTGTTGTGCAGGCAGGATGGGTGTTCCCCCTATTCCTTCTGTGGTTCATAGCAGCATGCTCTGGCGTGGTCGCCATGATGCTGTGCGAGGCCATGCAGCGCATCCCTGGCAACCACAAGCTGACACAACGATATGAGTACTGCACTATGGTGAAGCACTACATGGGCAACCGGTGGTACATGTTCACCACAGTGATGTACAACCTCAGCCTTCTGGCCACAAATGTGGCGGCCATCGTCATAACAGCTCAGGTGAATACTTCAATTTCCTTGTTGCATTAACTGGATTTCTGTTTATGTTACAGAACCAATTGGGTGGGACAGGTATCGATTGTTGCAAGATGACCGACAGTCAGCATAGTGTAGTGTTGTCATGCAAGTGCCTGTTTATGGTCTGTCCAACCCTATCTGCAACAGCTGCAATGTGTCAGCATCACGTCCATCTGCGCGATGGTTGTACCACAACGTGCACATGGATTGTCTCACGTGAAGGAAGCCCACAATGACTTGTGTGCAGTACAGGGACAACCATACATGCAACTTTGCTTGTGTGTTGTTATTCAAGGTTGGCCCATTCTGAACGCTTGGTTTGGACGGACAACAGCACTTGCACTGGTCTCGTTTCTCAGCAACAGGTCCATATGGCCAAGCACTCTGCCAGACAATGGCCTTTGCAGTGGTCTTGTTTCTCAGCGACAGCCCCCCATAGCCAAGCACACTGCCTGATGTTCCCCTCATGAAAGAGCCTCCAAAGCATCTGAATCCACGTCTCACCCTGGTGGATTTACCATTAATAGCAAGAGAATTATGTCGTACAGTGGCCACCCCTTCCTGAGCCATAAAAATTGTGATACTCTGTTCAACACTGTAGATCTAGAGTCTCAGTAGGCATGCCTTGGGTGAGAACTGGCAACGCAGGGCGATGGGCATAGCAACAAGCCTAACCCCCTTGGATTGTGTTGTTGTGTCCGCAGGTCATGGACAACTGCATTTTTCATGTTTGTCGTGGCACGTACGGCCTTGACTACGGAACCTTTCCTCCCACATTCGTCCATGCTGTGGAAAAGGGCTCTGGTGGAACGGCAGGGACTGTGCACTGGAGCAGTGGGGGAGACAATGTTGTGTCTCTTGGCTTTCTCGTCATCTCTGCCCTTATTGTGCCGATAGGGGCAATGAACCTCGACGAGAGTATGTGGCTTCAATGGCTCTCTTTTGGGAGCCTTGTGCTGTTCACCAGTGCCTTCATCGTTCAGGTATCTTAATTCCACACAGATCGCTCTGTCAGGAAGCTACAAATCATTTGCCTTGCCCCTGATAGGCCATGTTTGGATGGTTTCGACCGCGTAAAACCAGGTTTGTTCACTTTTTGCTTTCTGAAGAGTCACAGTGACGCGATCCATAGTCTATCACATTGGATTTCCCTTGTGTTTTTATGGCTCACTGCGAATGTGCTTCTCTACTAATAGAACAGTGGGGATGGGACCCGCTAGCTTGCAGCCGACATCTTCATTCCCCTACATTCCCTTGTTGGGTGTTGTCGGCTGGTCAAAGGCTGCACTGTTGCTGTCTTGCCACATGGACAAGTCATCATAGTGCCAATAGCCAGAAAATCTGTGCGAATCTGAAACCTGCTTTATGTTCTGCACAAGTCAATAAAGATCGCCTCACGTTTGGGAGTCCAGGTGCTATGCCTGTCCAGACAGAAATGCATGGGTTGGCTGCAGCCCTTGCAAGCCAGTGCAACACTAGCCAGGGGCCTGGACATCGTAAAAGAAAAGGCAGGCCTGCTGCCAGTGTGCGTTTCAGCCCCAGTCCCAGAACCTTGAAACCTGATGTAATGGGCACCACAGTGAGATGACCTCAAGTCCATATCTGGATTGAGGTCACTTTGCCACAATGCCCAGTCTTCAGACAGGTGCATGCACACGACGGATACGAGATGTGTAGTGGTGCAGCTTTTTTGCACTTAGAGGCGTCTACCTCAACTTGCAGTAGGGAAGCGAGCCAGGCATATGCTTGTCCAGTGGAGGGTCGCTCAATATCATTACATGGCCTGGTTTCCCTTCTTGTGAAAATGAAGATTCCTCACTGAAGAGGCTGAATGGTAAATCTCCTGCCTCTTATTGCTTCAAACCTTTATGGTGCAACAATACACAGGACATGCACTACGACAATGGGGTAGTCCGTATCCATGACATGCCAGCCGAGTTCTAGAGAAGTTGGGTGTCCTACCTTGCAGTAGATGTTGGACATGATGTGAGATTGTTCATCCATGTGCTCATGGTGCTGCCTAGTTTCCATCAGCTGATCTGCTGTCGCTTCTGTGGCCTGATAGAAGTCCTTGAGCCCAGTTTGGGAGACCAGCGCACCCTGCCGGGTCTGCACTCTTGACCGCTGCTGGTGACAGCTTGTCTGGTGCCCAAAGCATGCCCGGTTGAAAGCAAGGGACATGCTGTGAGCTGTCCTTGAAGCACTTTGGGGAGCGTACTTATCCAAACCCCTACAGAGTAACGGTTTTGCCCTTAAAGAACTTCCTGCCCGTTAGCTTGTCCTGCGGCACTGCTCTGTGTGTGGCACTGAAATCATGAATCCCATCGTGCTGTGCAGTTCGTACAAGACGCCGCTGCCAACATACAGGATATAAATGAACTGGCACCCCCCGTCACTGACCTTATGGGGCAGATACCTGTGCTTGGGGTGGTACTGTTCGCCAATGCCTACATGGTTACAATTCCCTCGTGGGTCAATGAGAAGGCCCCCAACGTGAGTGTCACGAAGGCAACCTGGCTTCCAGCAGGGGCAGCAGCTCTTCTGTCGTCCATATTTGCCATCACAGGAGCGTGGGCGTACAAGCTGCTCGAATTTCCCGATGGTGAGTTTGTTGAGTTGCTGTGGGGCTGTGTCAGCCCTCATGGCATGTCACAACAACAATGTGATGTGCCTCAACTCCAAGTTGGCAAATGTTAAACATCCAAGAGTCCATCTCCACGGTATTCAGGAGCTGCCTGTGGAGTGGGCTCTTAATCTCAACTTGCTCACAGCACAGTTGTGTGTGTAGACTGCATGTCGCACTGCTGCAGGCAATGGTTTGAATGTATCCGTTCAATGGCAAAGTAGGGTGGTCAGCTGTCACCTGTTGTTGCTGCTGGGATGGCTGCAGGTGACAGAGTTTGTCCTTTCATAGAACATAGCAATACAAGATAGTCATGTGACCTGTTGCTACTGGCTAACTTGTCCTGCATCATTGATGAATAACCTCATCGGTTGTCAACGTGAAAACAACAGAGGCCTTGGCACGTGAATGGATCATTGGCGAATGTTATCCTTCTTGGATTGTGGGGATCTCCAGCCTGGTCAACTGTGTGGGGCTTAAGCATGCTTACTCGCAAATGGGTTTTGTTTGATGTCTTCGTTAGTCGATGATATCACATGTGCCTGATTTCATGCAGCTCCATGTGGAAGATAGGGATTGTAAGTCCGGCCACTGACCAACGCTATCATAACTGGACTCGTTGCAGGTGTTCATGGCAAAGACCGTGGGCATCCCAAAGATGGGGCTGGCGACGTGCTTAATTATGTTTTGGGGCCTGGCTCCAGCTGGTGGATGTTCATGTGTGGCTACCTGTGGAGCCTGACCGTCCTTGTGCCTGGCATCCCTATTCTGGCAATCGTCGTGCGGTACAACCTTCAGTCAGGTGGCGCCTCCAGGAGTTTTGCCTTCATCCTGTCCTCTGTCCTCCCCGTCCTCGTGACGGCCTTTTTGTATGAGAGAGGAATCCTTCAGGGGCTCTGCCAGTGGGTGGCAGTCTTCCTGCAGGTGCGATTCATCGAAACTGCACCATGGCAGTGCACATTGTGTCTAACGTTGACCTTACACTGTGTGGACTGGGGCAAATTTCGTGCTCCTTTTGGCGTGGGAGTGCAGTAGCTGCACTGAGAGTCTGGTGACTGGCAACAACTGCACGTCTGGTGAAAACCCAGTCACGCCTGCAATTCCAGCTGCTACAAGCAAACACGGACCACAGACCAAAGACAGGCTTTCCTGACGCACGCTCAGTGCAAGAATGCACAATACTAATGCCGGCACGAGACACAGGCTGCCGTCCAAAGGGTGTATCGTCAGCGTATCTCGCTCTCAAGGTAGAGGAGCCATGCAGCGCTGTGGAAATTGGCCCCTTAATCCGTTGCTGATGTCAGCCGTGCGGTCTGTGTCGAAGCATTTTTTGTCAGTGCGAATGTTGCGATTGGGTTGTGCTCGCTATTTTGTTTCCAAACCACGCTTTTTTTTCATGGCAGGGGTTGATTAACTTCGTGTTGCCGCCCATTCTATATCGAAAAGCGATCATCACATACGGCACCGGGCACCCTGGCGAGAGGCTCATGCGGCCTCCACCTCACCCCCACGATGCTGTCGACGGGGAAGAAGATGCAGCCAAGGACCTGGAGTCCGAAGGTCTGCTCCTGTTGCATCCTGCGGGTCACCCGCCATTCAGCAACAACATCGACGGCATGGGGGCCGCGACTGCGACGGGCGGTGATTCAAGACACCCTGGACACCGCACCGGTGATGTTGACGGGGAAGCGATGGTGGGGAGCGCACCCCAGAGCTTGCCCGCCGACGGCCAATGGGATTCGATTTCCGCCCCCCTCTTGGCGCACACGGACGGACTGGAGGGGGACGAGCACAGGCAGGTGGAAATACAGGCGGTGCCCAGCTGGATAGGAGTGAGCAAATTGGCATTCGCTGACGGGCTTGCGTGGATGCTCGGTGGCTTGTGCACGCTGGCCGTCATCCTGACTCTGTGCGGCGCAATATCCGACGCAGACACGGCTGACAAAGGTGGATTCCAATGACAGATGTTTGTGTGTACATGGTAGGAGGCGCATCGTCTGTTTTTTGGGTGACCACATTATTGCACATTGCAGAACAGGGGTGTTGGTTTGGAAAGGCATGCAACACGTCTGACGATCAGTAGAGTGTGGTGGTGGGGGGTGACTCTGTGATGAGGCTGTTGGTTTCGTCCTCACAGCAGTCATGGGCTGGGCCAGCCACAGAATGCACTGCACCCTTTGTGGAAATCGTCCCAGTGGCAGCTCTTCACGAGCGCTTTTTGTGGAGGGCTTGGATTCGACACTTGTAGTTTGGTGTACTACCATGAGGAGATATGTGCACTGTTCATGCATCTTTATCGGTCGGCGATACTGCACCGGCGGTGCTGTACAGGAACGGTTTTCATTGGCTGCTGTGCCACCTTGCTAAGGCGGCGTTTGCCGAATAGCACCGGTGCTATTGCTCCCATGTATGCATCCGTAATGGCAGGTGCTATTGCTATGCCGAATGGCATCATGGCACTACTACAGTGTTGTGCACGAATAGCACCGGGTGCTATTCTGAGGTGCTATTTGGCCTCGAGCGGTGCTATTCGGGGCTAGAATAGCACCGTTCGGCGGTGAATAGCATCAGGGGTGCTATTGGGGTGATATTGCTCCCAGCCGTTGATGATGTTTTTTTGACATGCGGTGCTATTCGGATAGCCGAATAGCACCGCCGGGACAACAGCACCCACCGATAAAGATGCTCTTAGTGCTTGAAACATTGCAAAATGGTGAAATGTGCTTTGATGGGAGGAAGCTGTGGTGCAGAGGGTACAGCCAAGGGCCCTTGGTCCCTGGGCCGTCGATTCGCACTCGATGGAGCGCGTCTGGCCAATGTCATCCTTTTTGCGAGCGTGTGCGACCATTCACTCACAGGCCGCTCTTCTGGAATCCTGAAGCCATTGGCCTTTGCTTCCAACCGCCCAGGTTCTGCGTTACATCCAGCAGCACAACGTCGCAATGCAACACGGTGCAGCGCACAATTGCCCAACCAACACCCACCATGGAATCACGGTCAGCACGGAAATCAACGACGGGATTCGGACATTACATTGCCTACGGTCTGCACAATTCAGTTTCACGCCAACAGCCCGCCCTCCTCGCCGACTTGCTCCCAGCCGTGCCCTTCCATTGACGGCGAGGGGGGCGGGACGCCGTGCGGCATGAGGCAAGGCGAATGTGAGCGCCAGAAGCAACTCAGGTGGCGGATGGAGGCGGGGCGGGGCCGCGGCGGGCAGAGCTGGAACAGAAGCCCGTTCGCGCAGGCTACCGACGGAGCTCCCTCGGAACACGTCCGTAACGCTGCAATGCTCAGCTGCCCGTGGGTCAGGCAATACACGGCCTCCTGTCGAAGGAACCGACACCAGGCTCCACTGCTACACTGTTCTATCTGCACGACTCACCCGCCGCGTGCTGGTCGTCGAGCGGGCGCTAACTCCTGCTCGACACCCAAATCCCCACCTCTAACGGCAGGGCGGTTTCCTTCTCTGCGCAATGACGCGCGCCAGCGGCTGAAAACGGCACCAATTCCACAGCTGACAACTCCGTGACCGGCATCCTGCACCCTTCGCACGACGCCGATTCAGGACCTGTCCAGCCGAAGTCGACCACTAAGCGCAGCATCTGCCCCGCGGACTGTTCTTGCTGATCTGCAGCTCAAATCATGCGGATTTCGTAGTTGCCAGCAACTGTGATGTACCGAACCCAAGGCAACGCCTGGTACCCGCTCTTCTCGATAACCTTGAGGTACCGCACCTGGATGCCTGACACGGTGTAGTAAGGGATCTCGAAGTTCACCCTGATGGGGGGCATCCTACCACCAGAATCTTCCTCAGCTTGTACAGATGGCAGACTGAATTTGCACCTGAAGACAACCAGATGACAATGACGCGATATGAAGGATGCGTTTGGGCACCAGGCATGGCGGCTACCGGCGCATGGCAGCACAAAACAGAGAGAACAGTAATTTCCACGTCCATGACAATTGCACACAGCGCACAAAGCGCTCACTGGGTACAAGCAATCAACAAAATAACGGCTGCGCTGCCGATCCGCTGGAAGTGACTTCTTCAGTATCTGATCACAATCAGTGCATGCGCATGCAAACGATTGAAGGCGTGGTTCACCTCCCTACAGCTCTCACCAGTGGAAGCAGAGGAATTGGCAGCTGTGCAATAAGTGCAACATCTGCACCACTTCATACCGCTACATAGCGATGCTAAAACAGTGGTGGCATACCCTTGGTCGCCCAGCGCTTTTCAGCAGGTGCAATGTCCTCGCTTGACACACTTCGACACACAGAGCTAGCAAAGATTCGGACAGATGAGATCAGTTGGACCAGTCACTAAACCTAACATTGCACTGTCGATTGACAATTCGAATGCGCTACTCGGCGAACTGATACCCACAACAGTTGTCATCATCACCTCAAAAGGTACTCCTTGCCCCCTGGAAAGCTCTTGATCTTCCACACCAGTGCCTCCTTTTCAGGTGCGTAGTTTGCAGTCCCTTGCGATGTTCGAACTATGGGTGCTGTCGCATCCTGTGGTAGCGGAAGAAGAATCTGGACGTTCGTTGCGACAGACCGTTCCTTGAACTGCGAGCGTGCCTTCACCAAGTACTCGGTTCGACTCCGGCTGTGGCGTTCAACAGTGGCCTCAACCCAAATGAGTGGCCTGGACACCCACAGGACGCTCAAGAAAGCTGCGTAATACACTCACGAAGCAATCTCCCAGCATGCCTGGTCCCAACATTCATGCATTCCAGTGGAATCTCTGTCACCAGATTAGGGATACGAAATATCACCACCAACAGGAGGCAGGTTTTTGCAGTCAAATTGTTGATTTTGCAGAAGAGCTTGTACAGGATCAGAGATTAAGCCTGAAAGCCTGCTGCTTGTTGGCAAGTACTGCCAGCACTAGACACCAGCACCACCACCACCAGCAGTGACCCAGCTGCACAGGAACATTGCGTCTGCATGACATGCCTGGGGAGGAACCTTGGTCACAGGGCTCAGATAGGAGCAGAACTACGCACTGACAGGACCAAAAGCACTGACTGCTGCTCTTGCACCTATCAGCCACTGTTGCCTGTGACGTGGCAATGAACACTTTGAGTGTCTGTACCTTCAGTTTATTTGGGTTCAGCATCCCGTGGGTTTCTTTGGCAATGCATGAGATAACTCCAGTGCAACACATTCTGGAGTCCCTGAACTGCTGAAGTGCAATCAATACATTCCAGGCCTCGCATCACTCAATTCTCATAAAAGGTGGCAAGGAGTCCTCACTGATAACTCCCATACCTGTGTTGGGATGGAAATGAAACCAAAACCTAAAAGTGAATTGCCAAGTTTGGAGAGGGAACAACGACAACAGCAATTGCAACAGAAACAGCAACAGCAATAGTGACAGCAATAGCAACAAATGCACACGAGGCGCTATCCACAATCCCAATGAAGCCAGGGTACCCAAGCCCTGCACAATTTACCCCGTACTTTATGTTCTGGCTCAGGCGGTACGACATAAGATCAAAGTTGCCATCCGGAGGGATGAAGGAGATTGTCCTGTCGTTTTCGAATCTTGACAGACGGACACATTGGTGGAACTTGATGTCCTCCAGATCCACTGCTTTGTGCAAACCACGGCCCTGGTTCTGAAACAGGACCTGCACAAATGCAAGCCATGGTTTTCATAGACCACAGAATCAGACTCCATATAATGCGCCCTCCATCGGAGGAAAGGGACTTTCAACGTGTGCCATGCTGCAGTGAATGTTTCCAAAAACGTCAGAAGGGGCCTGCAGAAGTATTCGAAGTCCTAGCAGGAATTGTGGTTGGGGTCTGCGCACAGGTGACAACAAATGCACATTATGGTGCCGATGGAGGCTGGCAGTGTGGAGGCTGGCATTCTTGTGCCCAAGCACAAGTCTCCATTGCAAATGTGTGCATTGACTACCTGTGGAACCAATGGTGGCGTCCTTCATCACCATTGAGATTCACCACAGGACTTGTTGAAAGGTTGTTCAAGCTGAAGTACAAGGGCAACAGTACAAGTGCACAGGTCCACACAAAGAGGTGTGACGCCCATCAAATGAAGAATGGAAACGCATGGGGAGCTGCAAGGTCAAGAATAATGCCTTGCCAGAAATGCAATCGTTTAGAAAGGGTCAGGTTTTGGGTAGCAGTTGGCTCCTACTACAAGACAACCACGGCTGCGCACCTTGTCATTCAGGCCCAGTTTACATTCAGGCATCCCGCTCAGGAATGTGCGCATCTTCAGCACCCCAACAACCTCAGACTGCACCACCATCGCATTCGTGTTCACCAGCAGGTTCACACTCTCCACAACGTCCAAGAAGACTTCGTTCTTCTTGTGTTTGACCCCTTCAGAACGCCATGAGATGGCGTTGGTGACTGCCATCGGGGGTTTTACTTGCACCTACACACAGAGGACCAAGACAAGCTGGACTATGCATGACACAGTTCAAAAATCGAACAGCCAGGTGAATAGTGCCGAAGAACATAGATATCCATACTTCCTTTGACGATGGCCAGAACGACGACAGATTACAGGGGCAAATATTACTGCATCCCTGCTTTCTGTGCTTAGATCGGAACTGGAATTGATGGAACAGTAAAGTTTGCACAATGAAGCCAGCATTCCTGGTTCTGAACACAACACTGCCTTGACCACTTGGGTAATCTGTGGCTCATCAGGGCAGACATGTAGCCTTATGGGAATGCAACCCACCTCGATCTTGTGAGCATCTGTCTTTATATATTCCGACAATATCTTGGCTTCTGTGAACTGTGGGTACCCATAATCCATGACCTGCACAAAAGACACACTCACTCTGAAGCTGCTTCAGGTCTGCGAGGATGCAGGAAACCGTTCAACTTGCTGCATTGCCGCATCAATGGAACACCATGGCCAAAGCATTGGATAGGCTGCACCCTTGCAATGATGGCTTGCCACAAGAATTGAGTTCACGTGCACCAGGATCGGATCAATCACAGCAATTCTGACTTCAGACTGTCATTGACAATTTCAATGACAATTCTGCTGTGCAATCTGCAGCACCATTGTGCACAGTTGCCACTATGGCCTCCCAATGTTGGCCATCTTCAATCTGCTATGCCACCAACCCCCACCCCGCCCCACTCCATCCCACCCCCTACCCCCCCCCACCCAAAGTCTTTCTCAATATAGGGCGCTTTTGCTGCCTGCCTATTCCCCAGAGGTCGGGGGGCCTCAGCCATGCATCCCACAGCTTCAATCTAATGCGCTGGGCTTCTGTTGAGCCATGTGAGACATGCACATTGTGAACATTGATGGATCACTCCAGCATCTGCCTCCAGGGGAAATCCTGTCAAATGGGCAAATGCCAATTCAACATTACCCTCTAAAACAAAGTTCAGCTGTCAAGCACTCGGCTTCCTCACTTGCCGACGGTATTCTTGGAGGCAAGTTTCCTTGCAGGAGGGGGTAGACAACTCACACAGCGTCTTGCCCCAATCACAAGTCCCCAAGAGTTCCCCCCTACCCCCATCTCCCCAACACACACACACCTCGTCCAGCAGTTCATACACGATGACGAAATTGTCCTTCAGCGACTCCTCCTCCAGCTCCTCGAAGTACTCCGTGAAGACCTCCACCAGGCGGTGCAGGAACAGCACGACGGAAGCGGCATTGAGGTTGCGCCTCGTGACGCACATCAGGTACAGGTTCGCGTGCTGCACCCACACGTACGACACGCCGCCGTCGTTCACCACGGGGCTCAGCCGCCCGGACTCCTCCAGCTCGTTCAGCTTCGTGATGAAGCGCTCGGCCGTCGTCATGGGCACCTCCCCGCGATAGTCGCGAGAGATTATGACGCGGCCCTTGAGATCGAGGATGAAGAGGGCCGAGACCGCCATGCCTGGGAGGAAATCCCGAGACCCTCTGGCCTCGGTCGGGCGGAAGCGCGGAGGCCTGGTGCCGGGTGGGAGCCCTGGTGCCGTGGGCAGATTGGCCACCAGCAATATGCCCCCCCTGGAATCCTTCACTCAATGCCTGGATCGACGTCGGGGCCTGCTCGAAGCTGATTTCGAGAACCGCAAGCGGGGTGGCGGGAGAGAGGGTGGGAGACTGACCGCCTGGTGGGAGGGCGTCCAGGGGCGAGTTACGTCCAGGGGGCCAGATTGCTGGATCAGGGATCCAGTGGGAGGAAGGAATCCTCCCTGCTCGTGGCCGACAGCCGCTGTGGGCGGCAGCCGCGACGCCCGCGCGTCGCAAGGCGGACAGGAAGGCCGTGAGCGGCACCCACCACCGTGCAACACAGGCAGGCAACACTTGCGCGGCTCCCCACATACACGACGTCGCTGACTTTTGTCCCTCATTATGTCGCCTTCATGACCACTCGGCGCCCAATTCGCTCCCGTACTTTAGCGCCGCGTCTCCCCCACCGTCCTTTTGCCAGCACCCCCCTCCGTCCTGCCACGCCTCTGGCTCGCCCGCTCCCGCATCGACTCCTTTCGCCCCTCCGCCCTTCCCACTGCTGCTGGCGCTATGCACGCCCCCTCCGCACCCGCCGCCCTAGCCGCCCGCCCCCAGGGCCTGGGCCCGCGCCAGGCGGCATCCCACTGCTGTGCGCTGCGATCGGCGTGCGCCCCGGTGGAGGCATCCCGGCCGAGGCGCGCGGACGGCAGGCGGACGGACGGACGGAATGATGACGCATTCCTCGGCGCCGCGGTTGGAAGAGGCCTGGGGCAAGACGCGGAGAGGGGGGGAACGCAGATCGTCGAGGCGTTGCCCGGTGATGGATCCAGGGGGGGCGCATGGCAGTGGGATGCTGGGAGTGATTTGCCGTCCACATCCGGGCATTGGGTCAGTGGCGCGATCGATCGGCAGGGCGGGCGTTCTCCGAGGGTGGCGAGACGGGATCTCGAGTCCGGAGTGGTCGCGAAGGCTGCGTCAGGGGGGAATGGGGCGGGGACGGGGGCATCGGGGGTCGTGACGACGGGGATTGTGGAGGTGCGGCCGGAGACGGTGAAGAGCGACGGGCCCGGGCCGGGGCTGCAGTTCGGCGTTTCGGCCGCGCAGGGCCCCAGGGCGACGATGGAGGACGAGGCGATCGTCTTCCCCGACGGGAAGTGCGGGTTCATGATGGCGAGTAAGATGGCGCGAACAGGGCGGAAAAAGGCGCGCTCGAGTTGCTTTTTGATCCGGGAAAGCTTGCGGCGCTGTCGCCTGTGTGTGGGTCGCGACCTGATGTGGCGGGCCTCCTTTGGGTCATTGCCCCGTCCAGAAACTGTTCCCCGCTGTCGTCTGTGTGTAGGTCGCGACCTGATGTGGCGGGCCTCCTTTGGGTGAATGCCCCGTCCAGAAACTGTTCCCCGCTTTTGAAATTTTTGTTCCTTGGCATTTATGCTCGGCAGTCTTCTGCGCTCGCAACGGCGACCTCTTCACCCTGTGTCATGTTCCAGCATAGTCGTCAGCATCAGTCCTGTCGAAATTGGGAAGAGTCTCAGTCACGTTCAGCCGGCAGGGGCTTGACCGCTGCACGACGCATTGCATCACCCACTTTTCATGGGAGCATCACTTGTAGAAACGGCATCACAGCTCTCGCAGTACATTGATGAAAGCTTGTGTTCGCTCTTGCAGTGGTCTTGGATGGCCACGACGGGCTTCCCGCTGTCCAATGGCTGGCGGACCACATGTTTGACATCTTCTCAGATGTCATTGACGATGAAATGTTCAGTGGCACCTGTTCATTGGACCTGGTCGACGGCAAAACAGGGCTGTGCTGCCCTGTCAACATTACGCCAGTGTTGATGAAGAGTTTCGAATCTGCAGATAAGGAGCTGCTGGAGCATCTGAAGGGTGAGTGCAACCTTTCTCCAGGGAAGTGTTCCATATTCCGTGCTGTGCGTATTCCTTGAAAATGGGGCGTATGCTTGCAAGATGTTGCCTTGGCCTGGCAAGCACCTCGTTGGACCTTGCAGCTGTTCAGCTGACCTTCCAATGCAGTGTGAAAACTTGTCTCAATGGATGTATGTTCACTTTGACAACTACTCTCAATTGCCTGTGTCCTATCAGAGAAGTCTGGCGTCCGGGCGGCAAAGTCAGGTTCAACAGCAACCATCGCACTTGTGAAGCGAGACCGCATAATTGTTGCAAATGTGGGCGACTCCCGAGCAGTGCTTTGCAGGAATGGGGCAGCTTTTGATTTGACAACAGAGCACAGGGTCTGTGGGAATGGCACGGCCGTTCAGCCAGAGATTGAGAGGGTCAAATCTGTTGGTGGATGGGTCAGTGACGGTCGTGTGTGCGATGTGCTGGCGGTGTCGAGAGCATTTGGCGACTGGGAGTTCAAGGGGGAGGGACGCCAGCATGGACTTGCAGAAAGTGTGGAGTGAGTGCGTAGTTTTCGCTAAGTGTAGGCTTGCTGGTGTTGTATGTGCAACAATCGTTTTGGCAAGCATTTGTAGATGACAATGTCCACTTCTTGGCTGTTGATTGTACCCTTCTGATTATCTGAATTGCTCAGATTGCATCCATTTGGACGTGACGAGACACAGTACTTGCACCTTGTGGACAAAGGCATGCGTGTTTCCACACCTGAACACTGTTTGACAAAGCAATTGTTTTCGTAAGTTTGCCCACTTGCCAAGATTATCCACTAGGCAACAAAGATGCCATAGTGCTGGAATGTTGCGTCGTTGACAGGAGATAAACAATTTCCAGTTGCTTTTCAGACACATCTTGTCATTACCATGCTTAGGGTTTAAATATCCTGCCGCTCTTGACTGTATATCATGTCGTGATTGCTGTTGCAGGGAGGGTTTCATATCCAGAGAGTTTGCAGCCAAGGTCCATTTCACTGGAGACCCAATAGTGGCCACGCCTGATGTGACAGAGCTTGCCTTGGGAGAAACTGACGAGTTTGTCATCATCGCAACCGATGGATTGTGGTATGCGTTGCATTGGCACCTTCTGCCTTTTGCACCCCTGCTGCAATTGCAACCATGTTACACCACCACTTGCTGAGGCTAATTCTTGCTGTTCCTGTTGGCAGTGGCTTGCTGTGGCTTTCATCAGTGTCCATTGATGTTGTCAACGTCGTGGTGACTCGCTCTTTGTCTCCTTTCAGTGGCCTATTCATTCCAAGATTGCAGTGATCCTTGTTTGCTCTTTTGGCTGGGTGCTCACTCAGAGCAAACTGTGTGGGACACATTCTGGGAACGTGCAGTGTATATGGAGACGTGCGTCTCGGTACCATGAGTATACAGGGCTGCATTTGGTCGTGGTGCCTGATCGAGCCAAGAGCCTATGTGTGTTGCTGGTGCATTTGCTGGTCGAAGTTTTTCAGTGGTATCAGTTCGTTTGAATGCAATTGACGGGATGCTGTATTCTCTACAGCTGCCAGCCTCGTTGTTACAATGCTGCCTACTGGAAAGCCGGGTGGCACTCATTGTGCTGGCCGTTTCACAGCTGTGCAGTGTACTTTGGCTGCCAAGTGTGCTGACAGCAAGCTGTTTTGTGACAGGGATGCCATGCCAAGCGCAGATGCCGTCAGATATGCAAGCCGTGAGATTGAAAAGGGTAAGTCGTCCCAGCAAGTTGCCGATGGCCTTGTGGACCTGGCACTCAAGCGTTACACCTCGGACAATGTCGCTGCCGTTGTTATTGATCTGGTGGGCGCCGCAGCCCGGCGGAAAAGGAGAGCCACTGGACAAGCAGCCAAGAAGAAGGCTGGCGTGTGGGGATTTTGATATGTCGTTGTAGGGAGGCGCTTGCATCTAATTGATTGGTTCAGTCGAGAGAAGAAAACAAATTGTTGGGCATTTGTATCATTCATTACTTCCTTGCTGCGACTTTGGGATGGGGATTCGCAGTGGCTCCCTCACTGTGTACACAAGCAGCGGGGCAGGGGTGGGTTGGGGTGAGTGTGCATTGCAGATGACTGGCCAGTTATCCAAACTATGGGACAGCATTTGGCTATTCCGAATTGTGGTGTTTACAGGTTGGCAATTTCTACCATTCTTTTAGTCATTTCAGCCGTCCATTACGTTCGAAAAATTTCCTGCAAGCGGTTGTCTGGCCCAGCGACGCGCGAGCAGCCGTGCCCCGCCCCCACATGCGTTCTGCAGCAAAGCAGGAACACACCCTTGAGCGCATGTCGACGGCCTGCGCCTCGATCCAACCCCGATTATTTCGTTGCCAATTCTAGCGCCACGTGTGCACCACTCTCTGAAAATGGACAGTACGGAAAGTGCTCTACGCCTGAACCAGTCGCTGAAGGACAATCGCTAGTTGTGTGGACCTTCTTGCATGCCGGCACATCGGATGTGTATACCTGTGTGGGTTGTTTTGATTAGAAGCACTGCGAAGTGACGCAAGAGCCCAGAAGGTACTCTGCGGCGTGTTTGAGTTGACGCATCAGCTCTAGCGTTATAAATGCCAGAAGCTCACCTGCATGATATGCAGGCCGTTCAACTGTATTGGTACTCGACTGGATATTGCAGGTACTGGCGACCTGCTTGCTTTCGGTGGACCGAGTGTGCCACTGGAGCATTGGCAGAATTAGGAGCAAAGTTGCACCATGGGTTGCCATATGTTTGGTCCCGTATACACAAAACAGCTTCGAATAAAGCAGAACAGTTGCACTGAATGCTTAGATCATCAACTAGGAATATTCGAAAGAAGCAATTGGGGCCGAATATTTGAAACGACGAGTGGCTGTGCTGCCAGATTCTGCAGAAAGGGCGCAATTTTTTTGGGGGGTGTGTGGAGGGGCAGACTGCAGTGTTCAAGAGGGACAGAAAAGTTTGGTAACCTGTACCCCAACTGGAGCACAGCCTTTGTACGCGGGCTAGTTTGGGTTGGTGTAAAAATATTGCAAGTGCATGTTGGTGTCGTGAACCAGATTTGACGAGAATCCCCAGTGGACGCTTCGGAGCGTCTGCAGTCGTGCACAATCACCTTGACGTCTTTAAATCTTGCATCCGTGAATGGCACCCTTGAGAGGCTGTGTTGCGCCACTGTTCTGACGCCTGGCATGCCTCTGTCCGGTGTGAAGAGCGCAATGCATGCGTGGTTCCTTGAAGCACACGACCGTGTCATTAGCTTCGTGTTTGTCGGACTTCGGATGGATGGGTCGTGGACATCAGTGTCAAGGTACCAGGTTCCTAGATCAGGTAGCCAGGCAATGGTATGCTGGCACTGCACTGGGAGTGGTGCGTCGTTCTGGTGCACAGGTACCGTGCCTGGGGAGGTGTCGCACCGAAACTGCAAGGTCCCAGCCGGGGCCTTGTGATATGCACGCTGCGCCCTGTGCTATGCCGTGCCTTTCCCCATGCCGTGCCCTTTGCCGTGCCGTGCCCTTTGCCATGCCGCGCGATGCAAAACTGTGGCCCATGACTGAGCGAGGGACCGCTGAACCTCGCGTTTCGGATTTTCCCCTCGGTTGAACGAGGGCTGCGTTTTGTGCCTTCATTCTGGAAGCCCTTCGCTGAATCTGCGCTGGGACGCCATTTACCATTGGTGGTCACCATCCCATGAAAGGCGCTGAAAGCCTCATCGGCACTGGAGAGACAACAGCGTCCAACACCAAAGGCCACCCGCTGTTGTTCCACTGTTGCAGATTGCATGGAGCTTCCGAGGAGAGCGAAACTAAGCAGCACTGACAACCAACGCAGATAATGGAGGGTCGGCAAGGCCAACCTGCGTGGATGGTGACAGGGCCAGACGGCGCAGCAAGCGGCAACCCCCACACATAGTCGCCGACTTCCGGTTCCAGCAAAAATCGTGCCCATGCTCCAGCACAGGTGAAAACTGAGGTGGCAAATCTTACATTGCCGGCCGCTTCCCTGGTGGCGGCGTGGTGCGGGCCCACGTGCAATGTTTGTCAAGAATTATTGAGCTTGGTCTTGGTCCCTGAACCCTTCCATTATGTATTGCTGTCTCTTCTCCCTCGCATGTGAACAATATGAGCATCCACCTCCCCCGTTGTACTGCCAAGCCGCCCCATACACTGCCAATTGCACCCAATTGGATTTCCATGCGATGGGGAGAAGGCGCCCCGTGCCTGATCAAAACGCGTCCATCTGCCAAACTGCCACTACACTGTTTGGCCACCATGGGGCCCATGTTCACACCAGTGCTCACGTATTGGCCTCCTGGCCTGCTGAGAACATCCTCTGTATCCTCTGTATCTCTTGGCACACCTCACCAGCCTGTGGCCGTTCCTTGGGCTGCATCTCCACACACTTCAGGATCAGATCCTTCAAAGGACCTGGGCACGGATTGGTGAACGTGAAGCGGCTTCCTGGAGACCAAGATTCGTCCATGTCCGTGGATGGCTCCTGTCCTGAGAAGGATGCCGCTTCAAGTTTGATTTTCTTCCTCTCCACCATTTCCCACATCACCACGCCCAAGCTATAGATGTCGACCTTGACACTGATTTTCACGCTGGGATCATAGAGTAGGATCGCCACTTCGGGGGCCATGTATCCTGTGTGACAACGAGGTCATCATCAGGCGGCAGCCTGGCCCAGCGCTCACAAGGGGGGGGGGGGGAGGCAGCCAGGGCCTAGTCATACAATCGGTTCTTTTTCGTACAATGGGCACCCCACTCTCAAGCAAGAAGTCAGCGATGCCTTGCACAACTGATACCACACAAGATGTGGTGGATTCCTACAAATGGAATAACGAGAGTGCGCCACACAGGTAGATTGAACTGAAAGAGAGAGAAGGGGGGGTGGGGGCAAGATTTGTTACAAAAAAGATAGAGGAACAAGACATACAAAGGTCACCCCCCCCTAAGCAAGTGTATGCGAGGCTCTTTTACATGCTGCAAAAAGATGATATAGAGCCTCCGATGCAACAGGGAGAGTGCACAGCACAAGCAACTCAAAGCCAAGAAAACATGCACTCAGAGGGCCCGGGGAAGGGGGGGGGGCTATTATCAAACAAAGAGATCTGCATCGTGGAGTTTGGATGCCAGCAAGGGCCAATGTCGCACTTGTAGCATAGCACATTCATTATGAACTTGTTTCTGCAAAACAAAGCTCAACCTTTTGAAGAATAGCAATTGCGCTTGGCATGGTGCACTCACCTAACGTCCCTCTGACACTGCCGGTCACGTACGATTCCATCTTGATCTTTGACACTCCAAAGTCGGCGATCTTGGCGTGATGGTATTCATCCACCAGCACATTTGCGGGCTTCAAGTCGTGGTGGATCACGTTCGACTGGTGCAAGTGACGCAGTCCAGACGCAATGTCCAGAGCAATCCTCAGGATCAACGATACTGGCAGGGACACCGAAAACGCATCGCTATAAATGACATCGTCCAAGTTCCCATACATGAGTTCCTCCACAATGTACACGTCGCGGTCTCTGATCTCCTGTCCTTCCTCGAACACCACACGCCCACCATAGCAGTGCACCACGTTGGGGTGGCGGGGCACCAAGCAGAAGACGTCCAGCTCCTGGCGGAACAGCGCCACCACCTCCTGGGGCGTCCTGCTCTTGCCGAACATCCCGGTGGCATATTTGACAGCGACCTCCTGTAGCCTTCCTGCATTGTCTGTAAATATACCTTTCTCAACACTCCCGAATGCCCCAGCTCCCAAGACTGTGTGGAGGGGCCGCACCCGAATGTCGTAGTTAAGTGATGGGCACGTTGCCAAGTGGGGTGGCCTTCCCGGTGCCTTTGGAGCAGGCCTGCTGTCCACCTGTCACACCAATCGTTTCTTCCTTCTTCAGATACTTGCGCTCGTCCCTGGATTACGAGAAAACCCGTTGACACTGGATCAATGATGTCCTAGACAGTGCCCAGTCACTGTTCTGTATCGAATCCAAATTAACAGTGCAGCACCACCAAATACGATTCACAGCAGCAGATCCTGTGCATGACAATGGCCTCTGCCATTGCAGGCTGCCGCCGGGAAGGGCTCCTGATATGGGCACAAGTGATACTGCACAGGGCCATCCAAAACCAGCTATGAAAACAAGATACATATTGACAGGAACACACCTGGCAGGTAGCAACAAAACTCTGCCTGGCTCTCAGTTGTGGAAGATTTCCAAGAACTGTGGTGGAAGCTCTGCAAATAGGCACCACTGTTGCCATTCATTGACACCCTGCCACCCCCATAGAGCCATTTCTACAAACCTTACATTGTGCTGCGTGGTGAATGCGGCTATGCCTGCCAGGCATGTGGGTCAGGAACAGCAATACACAAAGTGTAAGCCTTACCAACGGTGCCCTGCCTCCACGCACAGAAGTCCCTGTGTCCTCTCGGTGGCTGTCGCTCACTAAACCATGCTCAAATGGCGACTCTGGCGGCTGTTGATTCCCCATTTCGGGAACAGGAGTTTGCATCATCGGAGGAACAGGAAGTCTGTTAGCGGGCGGCAGTCCAGGTGCCAGGTCCAGTGGTTGGGTATTCAGTTGCAAATGATTTTGAGGCGGAGGGTACCAGTGTATGTAGGGCACAGCTGACGGCCTATCACCAACAACATCATTCCAGTTCTCTGGCGAAGCGGGCGGCTTTCCAGGCTGTTCCATTCTCTGTGACGTCCTGCTGCTGGGGTCTGGATGTGGGCACTGTCCACCTCGACAACAGGGCACCCAGCGCCTCCATTTGCACAAAGTTGCACGGACCCTTTCGGGGTTTCTTCTGTAGTAGAAAAAGCCAGACCCGACAATAACCGACACAATAATGAACCCTATGGGTACCACGGCTGAAAGAACAGTTTTGTCTTCGTCGCTGCCTTCCCCCTGCAGCCAAGTCAGACACACACACACACACACACCATTCAATGATTTCCCCATTGAATTGTCCATGAATGACAGAGAATTGCCCCGTTGTACACATGATGGTATCACTTTGAAAGGAATGAGAAGCAGGCACCACAGAAGTTGCAGTTAGATCGAACAGAATGCGATCAGGGCACAACGTGTCCACCTTTAGGAATCCCCTATGCACACTCTTCTGGTTCTTGACTGCAATAGGGCAGCAAACAGGACTTTCACAGGCATCTGTGCACCTGAAGCCGCAGTGGCCATTGCAGTCCCAAGGCAAAGCATATTCCGTGTGGCAGCACCCTCTGGGTGGCAGCTCACCTCTGTTGTACCCGGATCGTCCCCATTTTCCTGCCAATAAACAAAGAAAGGCGCATCACGGTTACTGCCCAGCTCCAAGGCCAGTAGAGCACCCCGAAGCGGCACACAACCCGCCTAACCAAGTTGCTGAGTCGGAAAACAAGAACGCGCACATTTGAACAGGTCCCCGACTGTTTCTGTTGGATCATGGTGGCGGCAGCTGGGTAGTGCGCATTCGCAATCCGGAGTCAGGGAGGATCCTTAATCGCCATCTTCGATGCTTTCAGAGCCGGATCGACAGCGTGGGAGGTATTCCAATTGGTCACACGGCTGATACATAAGAGGGCACATGGGGACGCCCTGGACAGCCGTTTCCCGTGCAGGAACGATGGATGAATCCCCACAGCCGCTGGCACGACACTGTGGTCATCCGCGTATCACTGCTCAGCGCCGTCGCAGGTGACGGCATCAATGCCCGCGGCCCTCCCAGAAAACAGCCAAGCCGCATCCCTTCGCCCGACGGCGAGGGGCACGACGGCCCCAAGGGCCACCCTTCCAGCCGCCCAATCCAACCCGACGCGACCGCGGGCCAGCCCTGCGCCCTAGACGCCGCACTTGTCGCAAGGAGCATTCAGCCGCGGCGCGGAATGGCGACGACCGCGACGCCAATTGGGGCCGCTCACCAAACGACGCTGGTCTCCGCACCCCTCGACGTTCACTCCAATACCCGCATCGCTGCATGACCGACTTTCCCTTTCCATGTCGGCCAACTGCAGCACGTTGCGGGCCAGGCGCGCTGGCCGGTAGCCGTCGGAAGCTCCAGGCGACCACGCCGCCGCGGCGCCCGCGGCCGCGAAGATCAATGCCGCCAAAATCAATGCCGCCAACAACAAGCGCGGGTGTCCGCGCAGCAAGCCTGGAAGGCCACGACAGACGCCCGTGAGCATGGTGAGGGAGGCAGGGGGCGGACGGATAGGCAAGGGCCCCTGTTGAGGAGGATTGGCGCACCCTGTGGTGACCTTGAGGGCGCCATCGCGACCTCGCGCAGGTGGTTCTGCTCCGGCCGATTTCCACGTGCGGGTGGGTGGAGGGCAGGGGGGTGAGACGGAAACTGGACGGAGGGGCGCGGACCTTCTCGGCGTCGATTCGGTCGAGAGCCGAAGGATAGAAGTACTGTGCCGCCGGAAAGCTGCACCTCCATCTTCGGCGGAAGGTAAAATGAAGTTGCAGCTCGCGCGAGCCTCCTGCAAGGCCGCGGGGAGGGCCGGAGAATGGGGCGGATGTTGGGTGATCAAAGCTCCACGTGAGGCGGTGTGTACTGGGGAAGGTGGGAGCCTGTCGATTATGCGGGGCCGGACTGGGGCAGCATGCGGGCAGGATTGAGGAGCGAGGCTTCAGCCTGGTGCCCCGTCAGTGCCGCACAGTGTGCTGTGGGTTGCCGTGCCAGCGCCGAACACGACTTTCGCCGACTCACCCCGCTTCTCCGGAGCCACCGCTACCATCTGGTAAGGGCGCTGCCACTCGCTGAGGTCGCCGGTGCACTGCCACGAGTTACGCCGCCAACGAAGCCGATGGAGCACCAGGCGGATTTCATGTTGCCTTGTCGCTGATGCAGACCTGTCTCGCAGACAGTGCATCGTCAACCTCCAGGCTCGACTTCCTTGTACAGCAACCCATTCGCTTTCAAGCGCGCTGACGCCTTGCACAGTTTGCGCGCCCCAGTGCTCCAGACGAGGCGAACACCCAACCATCGACCAGGTTCGACCAGCCCGAACTTCACAAATCTCCTGGCCCAACAGAGCCTTCTGGTGTTGTATATCGTATTGATCGGGCAGGACGACAAACACACTGGTGTGGTCATCAAAATTATCCCTTGGCGCTTGCCATTGAAGCAAGTGCTTCGATTCTCGTGCCCGATATAGACGGTGATCAGACCTTGAGGTAAGATAATGATGCCGCAGTGTTGTCCTGGCATCGAAGGCCGTTGGTCTGAACGTCCCCGAACGAAATACGCCCCAACGCCGTATGGCCTGAACGCCTCCTTTCAATAATCGATGCAGCTGTACTTCCTTGCAACGTTTTGAGGTTGAGGGATTGAACATGCACAAACGAGTGAGAACATTCGGAATCAGAGTGCATCAAAATCCCTTCGCATACGAATACCCTGGCTGCACTTTCAGGCAAGGGAAGACGGTATGTCGATTTTAGTGCGCTTTGCATCGTTTCTAGACGCTGGGCCGGGGCGCCCGAGGCACCGAGGGCCCGGCAAAGGCCCACTAGGGCTGGAGCTACATGTTTGCTTTCACAACAAAGAAGCTCCTGCAACAACCCACACTGCCTCATCAACATCTATCAGCAAGCATCCCAGGTGTTCATTGGAGATCTTGAATGCTCGCCCAGCCGGTCGCCCAACGAAAAGTGAGTCACATGTTCTATGGGCTGTAGTCATGTTGGGGCTGCCCCAACTCAGGGCTGGTGTCGTGGACACCGCTGAGGGGCCCATGGCACGGCGGCCTTGCCATGAAAAATATTTCCAGCGGGCCCTGTCCTCGAGCCCGTTACTCTCCGCAGGAGGCTGACGACGTTGCAAGCGACGTTTGTGGCGTGAGCTAACATTCACCGCGCCTCCATCGAACGCGGCCCCATTATGGGAATTTGGGAACCAATGGAATGTGGGCAAACTGCTGCAATCCACTGGGTTTTCGGTGAGCACAACATTGCCACTGGTTTTCTCTGCCAAAACGGGGAGCTGATGCTTGCTTTTTGTGCATCATTTTGGGATTGATTTCGACTCGATCCCTGGAGACAGCAGTGACGCGAACCATGATACCTCGCCTGGGCCAAGAGCCTTGCCGTAACTATCGCAGAATTGTACCGCTCTGGCTTGGACATTCGAAGATGGAGCCCAGGAAAGCGTGCACCTGTAGAAGCTATCATTGCCTTGGCAACAAAACTCCCTTGAAAGTACCATAGACTATCACGCAACATGCGGCAGAAGACTGCCTGAAACGCCGCATCCACATGCGACATGTGAAATGCCTCGAC